TCTATTTACAAGTCTGTTACAGCACGTGGCTTCACCTTTCTGCCTGCACCGAGTACATAATTAGCATATCCGGAGGATTCTAAAACCACGGCTGTTATTGCTATCTGTACGCTCTGACCCTACGTTAATCTTTCTGTCATTAACTGACATTTCAAGGCCAGAATTCAAAGCACCATGTGTCAATAAAGGTGATCTTTAGATTTCAACAAATCTTTACGATTTCTGCGATATTGTTGTCCGTTTTCTGTTTCACAATATAGGACGCTATCGCTGTGATTTTTTATTACAACAGCGGGACTCCAGGACTTGTCTAGACGTTGAATTCTAGCGGAATCTCCAACATTTTAAGGGAGACAGAGGTTTAGCATTTTTATCATAGTAATGCTTAGATTTGACCTTGGATTCTGCGATTTTTTGTTCTGACTACATCAGGGGCGGTTACTCGTGTATAAGTTTTCCCTTACAGTGGGAAGATAGAACGAAGTTGTCGTGATTGGACTAACTGCGCTGGACTGAAATTTCCCTATATCAGCCGAGGGAGCTAGAATGATATTTCTAAAAAATCCTATTCTCGGATCAGAATTATCATCTTTGCTTTTTAAGTATACGTTTGGCAACTTTAACCATCGCCTCAGCCAAACATTTTGTTTGGTTTATGCAATATGGACTACATTTTACATGTACAAAATCCATGACTTTGAAAAACTCCTCAAATTCTTGACTAGAAAAACATGGACCCCCCATCAGTGGACTATTTTCTCACATATGCCCCAATGTGACATGATATCTTTCATGTGGGGAAATAACAGTTGAACTTTTTTATGTTCGAAAAGTCATGAACTATGGATACCTAAAATAGTAATCGGACATGACCATGAAATTTTTCTCATTAAGTGAGAACAAGTCACACCCTGCGATTTGAAACGGATAGTCTGGGATTTAGAGCTGATTAATGGTTCCTCTGTCGATGACCGTATTCCAGACAAATCTGACAATTGATGTAACCATTATCAAGTTATATTCATTTGAAATTCCCGGCCAAAAAACATTTATTACCTTGCTCTACTTAAGACATTTTTGCGCACCCAGATGACTGGAATGCAGCACCTTTAACATTCAGATCTGAGTGACCTGGGCATAACGATTTGTTCTCCTTTCATATTAAACCATTTAACCTAAATTAACTCATCCCTATAGTTCCAAAAGCACAATTAACTGATGACAAGCCTTTTGTACTTAGGCCACACCAAACTTTATTGTTTGTTGTAATGTTACATTAATTGTTCATCTTGTTTTGTTTGTAACCTGATTCCTCAAGTTTTCTATTCTGACACGGGTAAGATGAGATACCATGCAAACGTGTGCCTCAATACCCTCATTAAGTTCTGGGCTTGTTTCCGGATGGCGTTTCTGCTGAAGTCCATCTGTAATGGGATTTTCTTACCGGAATGTGACGGAAACTGAAACCTAATATGGAGTTAATTTCAAGACTAAACGCTGCAACCTAGCAGTATTGAATGCATAGGCTTTTTTCAGCATCCACTGTTAAGGAGATGCGTCATTTTCACAATGACATCACGGCCATAAAGCAGTACTGATGAAATTTCGTAAATCAAAGAAAATAGATAATAATTCTTTAGAAATTTGACCCTATTCCTCTGTGATTCAGTTAAACTACGGACGCAAATGCTATGGGAAGTTTTTTCCTGGAAAGATTACTGCCCCTAAAGATTTTGAAAGAGAATTCAACTTGCAATGTCAAGATTTGTTTGCGTCATAATAAGCTAAACATGTGTCCTTCAACAATGACTCTTTCATTTTCAAGGAATCACTTGAGGCTTTGCCACGTTGAAATAGTGTCCTTATGCAATAACTCTCTCATAGGAGGGGAATCTCTGAAAATTGTCACCCCTGAGACATAACGACTGATAATTAACCATGCCTAATACCACCTGTAGTTCACTTGTGTTGTGTGGGTGTGCTCATATCCCTTAATGGCCTCAATTTTGGCGGATCGGCCTTTAAGCTTCTGCAGTTAACACTGTGACCCAAAATAACTTAATCCGGTGAGACCTACTTCCAACTTTCGGAATTGAAACGAGATGCCTTTGCTTTAAAGCAGTTCAAGGACAGCTACTTTAAAATTTTTTTTCGGGGTTTTCTCTTTTTTTTTTCCATTTTTAAAACTTTTCCCTCGATGGAACCCCATTACAGCAAATATCATCAACAATTTAGCTACCCTTCGAGACCATCAGATGCCTCTTCAAGGCCGAACCAAAAATCACATCGATACCTATCCGTATGACATCGAAGCATACCCATGAAGACCCCCAATGGACGTTAAATTGCAGTCAAATATGACGACTCTTCAGTAATTGGATATTGACCAGTAAGCACTAGTAAGTCCAATGAGTGAAAACTTTGCATTACCAAAACTTATTAATACGTCATCAAGATGTTTTGACGTGTAGGGTGTAGCTTTAATTGCACTATTCAGCGAACAGGGTCTAAACAAAGACGTATATCGCCATTACTTTTTTCAGTAAACAACTAAATTATTAACACCTTCATGTGTGTTTGAAATCTTAGCAATTTACTCCCATTTTTTTCCATTCGTTGTAAGTTCCTGTTTCACTTTATCTGGTAAAGCAACTGGAATCCCTACGGGGGAGGATGAACAACTGCCGTTTAGGCATTTGTCAACATTGAATGTTACATTCCCCAGGGAGTAACCCCATATGCCATCAAAAAACTGGGATAATCCGTCAAAAGCGGACTCTTTAGTAAGAAAGCCTCTTTGTTTCTATGATTATAATCATTTTGATACAGAATGAGCGAAATTCTATGAGCTTAAAGCCCAAAAAGCACGACTTCACAACCTAATAGATGGTGGGATTTTCGTTGTCTACGACATGAAACGTGACATTTTTTGCTTGACCTGAACAGCATAGAACAAGGAGAGTGATTTGCCCTTTTGCTATGCAAAAGAATTCCATTGTAGGCGGTCAATTTAGATGTGGGCTTTCAAGTGGTGCCTTGAATCCTAAACCTTGAAAGTTAGATAATGCAAAATTTTACCTGAGAGCCAGGGTCTAACTCATTTGCACAGCCTTTTTACTATTTCCAATTAATATTTCTGTAACATCTGCCCATTTTTACTGTTACACAGTCAAGACTGTCCACATTTCATACCACAGTCAAGTATAATTCAGAACTTATATTTGAAATGTTCATTCACTGTTCTTGATTTACAAACATTGCTCCAGTGGTCCATTTCTTTACAATTGTACATTGTGTGCCTTTTGCTGGAACAACGCTGCTTGTCAGTATGTGATTTCCACACCTTGTTACATTTTTACTGTGTGAACGTTCCCCAAATGCGACCTGATTGCTGATGTTTCTGTATATCGACCTGCATCATCGCATGAAGAGTTCCGAGAACGACGACCTTGGATGCCCGAATGAAACGGCTAGGCATCCGTCCCTTCGGTCTGATACTGCATGATACCGGAGGCACTTTCTTTGACGTTATTGAACATTTTATTCTGAGATGCAGCATATTCAAATTCTTGGAAATTTTTGGCCTTGTCTAATTCAGATCTTCCCTACTTGCAAAAGCCTTTCTCTTAATTTCGAACATGGAACGCAAATATTAATCTATCTCTGATCATGTCATCTTTCTTGTTCCAAAATTCACACTCTGTAGGCCTTGTTTTATTATTGTGATGAATTGTTCCATAGTTTTTCGCTTGTTGTGATATTATTTGAATTGATAGCGGCTAAATACTGTTAATTATCGGCAGCGAGTGTCTCGGACTTTTTGGAAGATCTTTTATTGTGTCTTTTCTATCTGCATTACGACATGAAATTGCGGCTCTATATATTTCTCTTCCCTTTGCACCCATATTAAGCAATAGCAGTCTGTAACGTGGACATCTTCTTCTTGCTCTGTTCAAGGGTCCTTTAAAAATTACTAATTCACCAGTGCTCTTGAAATTTGCAAATTCTTCTACAAGATTGGTTTATGTCCAGTCCATTTGAGGCTTGCGGATACCACCTTAAATTCATTTTTTTATAATATTCCAGCACTTAAGGAAATATTATGTAATATTGCCAACAGAAGGAATTATAGTTTATTTCTGTCCTTTCTTAAAGAATGTTTTATTGCAAACAATTTTATTAAAATATTCCGTTCATTAGGAATGATTTACCTTTTTATATAATATTCTTTCCTTAGGAACTTATTAATTAAACTATTTAAAATATTCCGTCTTTAAGAATTATTATTTTTCCAGTTCTGACACCATGTTATGTCATGGGTTTATGAACGACATAAATATATATGTGCTCTAACTACGGTTTATTATCTAAACTATATTCTATGATACATTGTGTTTAACATATCAGTGTCCGCGATGGTAGTATATTAAGATCTAGGGAACTCTCTATTATAAAGGAGCTGTACGCACCTAGAGTATCATGTTACAGTTTACTCATCATGCTACACTACCATCTACACATTAAGGTTGTTTATCCCTGTAAGTTTAAGCAAAATCTGCCATGCGGTTTAAGCAGAGTTGCATTCACAAAATTTCTAAATAGTATCTAGTGAAAAAATCAACAAAGGGCCATAATTCTGTTAAATTTGGTCGCAGCGAAAATTCCTTCCTTTACTACCATCTACACATTAAGGTTGTTCATCCCTGTAAGTTTAAGCAAAATCTGCCATCCAGTTTAAGAGAAGTTGCGTTCACAAGATTTCGGGACGTACGGACGGACTGACGGACGGACGGACGGACGGACAAGTGCAACGCTATATGCTCCCACATTGTGGGGGCATAAAAATCTCATTACTGCATGTTCTTTTAAGATTATGCATAAGTTAGCAATAAATGTTTAACCTACAGGCATAAACTTATGTGTTAATTTTTATTCAGTTCCTGGCAATTCTTCATGAATACAGGGCCGCATAAATGTTAACTCCAAACCACACAACTTACCAAGGGTTCATTCCATTTGAGTGTATCATTTTCAAATCCACCAAATATTAATATTTCACCATCAGTGGAACAAAACGCTGTATGCCATTCTCTAGGTTTACAAAAAGGCATTGTTATCTGTGACCACTGTCTGTCGGTCACATTCAATTGCCAAGCATCACCTGTTCATAGCAAAGGAAAGAAAAATATGAATGAAATAAGATTTTCAAATATTAATAAACCCCCCACCACAAAGCAACAACAAAAAACAAGAAGGCCAAGATGGCCCTCAATTGCTCACCTGACCAATTGAACTAATCTGAGCAATTACCTAGACAAGTCAAAAATTGACCACTAGAGTGTTAACAAGATTTTTCCATATTTGGGCGGTGTGACCTAGTTTTTGACCCCAAGTGACCCACATTCAAATTTGACTTAGAAATCATCAAAACAAACTTTTAAACTAATTTCCAGGATATTTGGATCAAAACAGTAGCCCCTAGCGTGTGAACAAGATTTTTCTATTTTTAGCTCCTGTGACCTAGTTTTTCATCCAAGATGACCCATGTTTGAACTCATCTGAACAATTATCTACAAACACATCCAAGCAATAACCTACACAAGCATCCTGAAAAAGTTTGATGATGATTTGTCAAAAATGTGACCACTAGAGTGTTAAAAAGGTTTTCCATATTTGGGTGGTATGACCTAGTTTTTGATCCAAGGTGACCCATATTCAAATTTGACTTAGAAATCATCAAAACAAACTTTCAGACTAATTTCCTGGATACACAGTATTTGGATTAAAGCAGAATCCACTATATTGTGAACAAGATTGTTCTACTTTTAGCTCCTGTGACCTAGTATATCATCCGAGAATGACCCATGGTTGAACTCATCCAAGCAATTACCTAGAAAAGCATCCTGACAAAGTTGATGACAACTCAGTCAAAAATGTGACCACTAAAGTGTTAACAAGGTTTCTCCATATTTGGGCAGTGTGACCTAGTTTTTGACCCACGATGACCCATATTTAAGCTTGACCTAGAAATCATCCAAACAAATTTTCAGACCAATTTCCAGAATATTTGGATCAAAACAGTAGCCACTACAGTGTTAACAGGATTTTTCTATTTTTAGCTCTCGTGACCTTGTTTTTCATCCGAGATGAGACCAAGGACAACAGGTGATGGCCATTCTACAATCCTTAAAGCTCACCCTGAACAATCTCAGATGAGCAAAAAAAAAAAAGAAAGAAAAAACTGGTTACTTCGATTAAAATATGGATTGAGAAATCAACTAACTAACTTAAAGACACAAAGTTGTCAGAATATCCACCATAAAGGAAGATAACTTCATCTGAGACAGCTGTAAAGGTATGCCATGATCGTCCACACGGACACGCACCTTCAACATATAACCTGAAATGTAAAATACATACGAGTTAAAAGCTTAAAGTACCTTAATGTACTCTTAGGAAATATATAATTTGGACTTTATTGTTGTAGTTAAATGAACAGTACATTTTTTAGCTTATATATTACATATATACAAGTAATATAATGAAAAAAAAACACAATTTTTAGGTCTGAGAGATTAATTTCAAAGAATAAGAATGATAAACCTTGCATTATAATTGTACAACAATGCAAGAAAAAATTGATATTAATCTACATACTAATATGACATAAAAACAAGAATCATTAAAATTTGTTGAAGTACATCAAGTAAATTCAAGGGACTCCAGTAAGTTTTTTTTTTTTTTTTTTTTACATTACCTAACTGGAAATAATTTTTCAACATTAAAATTCAATTGAATGAAGCGTTAGATCAATATCTTTGTGCAAAATTTCAGATCATTCAAGCTCACTTCATTTATTCAAAATAACTATTCTTATTGTGAACAAGAGCTGTCACCCAAGTGACGAATGCCCCCCGAAAAGGTTTCTTAAGCATACAGGTATTATGAAAAGAAAAGAGAATGAAAGTAATTAATTGCTTAATATTGATCTTTGTATTATAGTACCTGTAATCTCTAATTGTGATAGCGTTAACCTTCAAAATATAAGTGTGACCTTGACCTTTAAAGAAGGGATGTGGTTTCTTGATGCGACAGATTGTTGTTATGAGATAGACATTTGTGCCAAGTTATTTAAAAATCCCTCAATGCATGACAAAGTTACAGTCTGGGCATAATTGTTGTGTAAGTGGGGACACACGGACAAATGGACATGAGCCTTAGCCAAGACACATTCTCTTGATGTGGTAAACATTTGTGCCAATTTATTTTAAAATCCTTCAATGCATGACAAAGTTACAGCCTGGACACGAATGTGTATCTTCAAACACTTCTAGAGAGAACGAGTACTTTCAAACTATAAGTGTGACCTTGACCTTGAAGGTAGGGTCATGGGTTTTAGTCGTGACACATCGTCTTGATATGGTAGACATTTATGCCTAGTTATATTCAAATCCTTCCATGCATGACAAAGTTACAGTCTGGACATGAAATCCACATCCATACAAAAATAACCAGTAACCAGGTGCACAACTACACATGCTGATCAACATTCCTGTAAAGTTTCATGACCCTAGGTCAAATACTTTTTGAGCTATATGTGACACAAGTTAACAAGAGCCTGATTTGAACCTGGTGATGCTCCCCAAATAGGTTTTGGACACAAGAAAGTACACCTCTTGTAGTTTCAGGGTTATGTCTCTTGAAAAAATTGCAATAAGTCCAAAATTAGGCAAGGCAGAGAAACTGTTCTTTGCACTGCACTTTTAATTTATGCCATCTATCAACCTACAAAGTTTCTTGTTGATAACTCTTATGGTTTCTGAGACAAAGTTCAATATGTAAAAATGAACAAAGGGCAATAACTACAAAATTTGGCAAGGCGGAGTTTAAGTTCTTGTGCACTTCACATCTACCTATTGAGATCTACCTACCTACAAAGTTTGATATAGATATCTCTTATAGTTTTAGAGTGATGTCCCAGACAAGATTTTTTTAAAAGGGGAAATAATTCAAAAATGGGGCAAAACAGAGTTATAGTTCTTTCATACTGCACTTTTACTCAATGCAATCTATCTACCTACAAAGTTTCATGTTGATATCTTAAATTTTAGAGTTATGTCCCAGACAAAGTTCAAAAAGTAAAAATAAACAAAGGGGAATAACTCCAAAATTTGGCAAGGCAGAGTTACGATTCTTGTGCAATGCACTTTTTCTCAATGCTATCTATCTATCTACAAAGTTTCATGCTGATATCTCTTATAATTTTAGATTTATGTCCCGGACGAAAAAGAGTTATGGTTCTTTTGCACTGCACTTCTACTCAATGAGATCTAACTACCTACAAAGTGTTATGTTGATATCTCTTATAATCTAAGAGTAATGTTCCTGACGAAGTTCAAAGTGTTTAAATGAACAAAGAGCAATAACTCCAAAATTAGGCAAAAAAGAGTTATGCACTGCCCATCTTCCCATTGAGATCTATTTACCTACACAGTTTCATGATGATATCTCTAATAATTTTAGAGTTATGTCCCAGACAAGATTTTTCTAAAAGGAAAGATAATTCAACAAGAGCACTGCTAGGCTGAGCATTATATGTTCCAAAGTGTTTTTTTTATTACTTTAAAGATGCAGCATTTGTAAGACATTACCTCCTTCAAATAGCAATTCTCCTATGAAGTTTGAATATTGTGGGCCAAATGGAACTTAAGTTATGCTCCTGAAACTGTTTTCAGTTTTAAGGTAATAGTGACCTTGAACTTTGACCTTGTGACCCCAAAATCAATAGTGGTCTTCTACCTTATATGGACAATCATCCTTTGAACACTGTGGGCCAAATGAAACTCAAGTTATGTTCCGGAAACTGTTTTCAGTTTTAAGGTAATAGTGACCTTGACCTTTGACCTTCTGACCCCAAAATCAATAGGGATCTTCTACCCAATATGGACAATCATACTATGAAGTTTGAACACTGTGGGCCAAATGGAACTTAAGTTATGTTCCGGAAACTTTTTTCAGTTTTAAGGTAATAGTTACCTTTGCCTTTGACCTTGTGACCCCAAATCAATAGGGGTCTTTACCCAATATGGACAATCATCCTATGAAGTTTGAATATTGTGGGCAAAATGGAACTAAAGTTATGCTTCGGAAACCAAATTGCTAACAGACGGATGGACAGATGGACGGACGCCAGGGGGTATAGCATAATAAAATAAATAAAATTGGGGCAAAAAACAGTTATGTTCTTTGACACTGCACTCCGCATCAATGCCCTCTACCACTATGATAAGTTTAAACAAATTATCTCCAAAGGTTTTCAAGTTATGCTCCGGACAAGACAACGGAAGTTCTAACGGGACAGTAATTATGTGGCTACTCTTATGTTCTCTCTATTATTCTTTTAAGCCACACAAAAGAAAATAGCCACATAAAAGCATTATGAAATGAATCAGGCCTCGACATTAGCGGTGGTCCATGACCACCTGATTTTGTCAAGGACCACCTAATTTTAAAAGCCGCTGGTCCGTTGGACCACTTGAATTTTCTGGTTGGTGCAGACTCATTTGGGAGAATGGTGATTTGGTCAAAAACATGTTATAAACATTTCCTTTAAAATCATTTGTCCCGATGTACATGTATATGGTTCATTAATTATCTGATTTAGTTAAAGAAGTTCTTAAATCATCTATAACTTTCATTTTTAAATCGGGGCTAAAAATTTGGTTTATGCAAGTTAAAAGAGTTTAGACTTTGTGATATCAATTAAGGTACAAAATTCATTCAAATGATGCTAATAATTATGCATCGTCGGATTACCTACGGTGGAACCAGTAACATTTATGTTATATTACGTGTTAATTAACCGTGGGCATCCGACGATGGTAATTATGATATTGTATGGGATATAAGATAAAACTTAAAATTTCATATACTTAAATAATGGCAGCAAACAAAAAGGAACTGGAAAATACATCTAGTAATTCTTTGCTACTTATCTTTTTATTTTAACAAGTTTAACGATAGAGATCCATTTCCCTCTAGAGTTAAAATTACTTTAAAAGGTTAAAAATACTCAATGACATGTTTAAAAATAAATATCAACCAAAAACAAGCAACAGGGAGGTAAAAATAGTATTATTATACATCTGTGAGAAAAATAAGCCTTAAACTATAGTTATATATAACATTAGTTTTTTATTTTTTTATCCTCAGCTATTTCCTTGTTTTAAGATAATTTATTAGTATATTAAAAAATGTTAATCTATAAAAGATACATGTAATTATCATAATTAAAAGAACATAAATAAGAGCCCTGTTGTGTTTTTTTGAATGACATATAAAAAACCAAATAACTTTATGATAAAATACCTACTAACTTGCTCTCCTTTATTTCTGTTAGATAAAAATATATATATCTAAAATTATCTGTTTTTTTACGGTTAATGATACATCTTTGCATCAATTTTAAAACATATTTTTTTCTAATTTTGCAGTAAAATGACATAATAATAATTGACCACCTGACTCCTGGAAGGACCACCTTAATTTCAAATCTAGTGGTCCGGCTAACCACCTGCTAAAAAAGTTAGTGTCGAGGCCTGTGAATGAAATCAAAGAGAAAAAACAGTTACCTATTGTCCCTCTAGCCACATTATTAATGTGAGAGTCAACGGACGGACAGACAAGGCAGCGACTTTATGCTCTCCCTTCGGGGAGCATAAAAATTGCAAATTTCTTCTAAGTTAAGGGCAAAAACTCTTACAAAACCGAGAAAAAAAAACAAGCAAAAGCCCAGGTGCAAAACTTCACATGCTGAGCAACATTCTTGAAAGTTTAATGATTCTAGGTCAAATTCTTTTTAAGCTACATGCCACACAAGTTAAAAATTGCAAATATTTACTAAGTCAAGGGCAATTTCTTTACCAATACTGTGAATAAATCCACACAAAAATACCCAGGTGCACAACTACATATGCTGAGCAACTTTCCTGCAAAGGTTCATGACACTAGGTCAAATACTTTCTGAGCTACGTGCAACACAAAATGAGAATGGAGGGACAGACAAGGGTAAATCTAAATGCACCCACCCCCCTTCCTAAAGTGGGGGCACAATAATTAGTTTTTGAGATATAAAAATAATAGCATTTCTGTGACATAATTGGCCTTTAAAGTGCTACTGTAATTATTAGGTTTATTGTAAATTCTTAAACAATATTTCCTTTAAATAATAAGTAAAATATATGCATGTACTTACTCTCCTGACCAAGTGAGAGTTTCTAATTCTAAGGAATGTAGATCATTCATTCTTATGTCGCCATGACGACCACCAAATAAATATACCACATTTTTTAATCTGACTGCTGTGTGAGCGGCTCGAGGAACTGGTACTGGTCCCTGAAGCAGATACAAGGTACATGAATTTTATAAAGGTGTTGGTACTGGTCCATGAAACAGATAGAAGGTACATGAATTTTATAAAGACATAGGTACAATGTACTGGTGTGTGAAATAAACAGAAGGTCCATGAATCTATAAAATATTGATATTTGTCCATGAAACAGACAGAAAATACATGAATTTTATAAAGACATAGGGAACTGGTGCATGAAAAAAACAAAGGTACATGAATTTATAAAGGTGTTGATGCTGGTTCATGAAACAGACAGATGGTACATGAATTTATAAAGGTATTGATACTCAGGTTCATGAAACAGACAGAAGGTTCATGAATTTATTAAGGTATCGGTACTGGTTCATGAAACAGACAGATGGTACATGACTTAATAAAGGTATTGAGACTGGTCCATGAAACAGACAGATGGTACATGACTTAATAAAGGTATTGAGACTGGTCCATGAAACAGACAGATGGTACATGACTTAATAAAGGTATTGAGACTGGTCCATGAAACAGACAGATGGTACATGAATTTATAAAGGTATTGAGACTGGTCCATGAATTAGATATAAAGTATATGTTTATTGTCATTTTTTCAATTGAAACAGACAGTTAAAAACTTTTAATAGCCACTGACAGATACAGTAGGTCCTTATTAATTGGACCCCTATTTTTGCAAAAATATGCCAAAGTTTCTATAAGCTTGCTTGACAACATATGAGCCGCGTCACGACAAAACCAACATAGTGGGTTTGCGACCAGCATGGATCCAGACCAGCCTGCACATCCGCGCAGTCTGATCAGGATCCATGCTGTTCGCTATCAGTTTCACTACTTGTAATAGGGTTGGTAAGCGAACAGCATGGATCCTGATCAGACTGCGCGGATGCGCAGGCTGGTCTGGATCCATGCTGGTCGCAAACGCATTATGTTGGTTTTGTCGTGACACTTGGGTTACTCCATCTATTGCTTTCTAAATCATACACAAGAAGTTGATTATTCCACTGATTGTCTTTCAGCTGTGGTGAAACAAACATAACACCAATATATCGCTCACCTGATTACATTTGAGTATATGAAAATATGCACAGAGTCTAAATTTCATGGCAGTAATTAAAAAAAAAAAAAGAAAAAAAAAGTAGAACATATTCTAGATCAACAGTTTTACACTTAAATTGCATGTCAGGTTATTTAGAGGGTTGTAACACAAAACACAAAAAGGACGTCCACAAAATCAAAATCAAGGTCAACTAAATTCTTCATCTGAAAGTGTCCATTATAGTTCAAATTTCATAGCTGTAGTTCTAACTGCAAAAAAAAAAAGGTGACTTCGTCATAGTCTAGGTCAACTAATAATTAAACCTTGTACATAGTTGACAAAAATTGTCATCATCAGTACATATATCTCATTTCTGAAAATTAAAAGAGCTACAGCTGTAGTCATGGAAAAACAGTCACTCAGGTTGCAATGGAAAAACAAATGTTTATATGAAATTCTCTGGTTTGTTATAGAAAGTGAATGGTTGCTATGGAATTCATTGGTTGCTATGGAATGTAAATAGTTGCCATGAAAGGCACAGCAGGGTTAATTTTGACCTCAGGGTCATGATTTGAACAAACTAAGTATAAGCCAACAAGGCACTAGACAATGCTTCGCATCAAATATCTAGGCTCTTGGCCTAACAGTTACAGACCGATTAACGGCTTTTCCTATTTGAGACTAAGTAAAATAGAATAACCTCCAGGGCCTGGCTAATTTTTACTCCAAAGCTACATGTATAATTAGAACAAGCTTGGTAGAGTATTATAAGGAGATGCTACATACTTAATATTTAAACTTAAGCTATTCAATTTGAGTTGAATGTGTTATACCCTTGGGGAGATAATGAATGGAAACTGAAAATTTCATATCATTTTCAAAGTGGAAGGGGCAATACTCTGCCAAAAATCATTGAACCAAGACCAAATTCAAACTTGACCTGCGCATTCCTTTGACATATCCATATGTGAGATTTGAGTTAAATGTGTAATACCTTTGGGGAGATATTATGAACGGAAACTGAAAATTTCATCAAGGGGCATAACTCTTGTCAAAATTCATCGAACCATGACCAAATTCATACTTTACCTGTATTTTCTCATGATATATCCATATGTCAAATTTGAGTTGAATATGTGCAACTGTTACTAAAATAATAAACGGAAACTGATGATGACGGAATGGCCAGTCATTTTATTGCGGGGGCATAAAAATTGGATTCAATTCTGGAACATGATGTGATTCAAATTCTAGAAGTTTATTGGTTGACTAATATAAGATGTGAATTAAATGAAAATATTACAGCATAACACATACATATCTGGAACCAGTGTTCTTGACAAACTGTCCATTTTCATAAAGATACGTTCCTGAATTTATATTCTCACCAAAACCTCCGAAATAATATAATCTGAAGAGAAAAACATGTTTCTAATGTTGAATTACAAAAAAAAACCTCAGTTATTTCAACAAAGAATTTCAAATTAATACAATCCTGACATACAAAATTAAGTTACATTACTGTATTATACAGGATGTGTCCCCGACAGGGACTTTGGATTCTTTCATGTGAGGAAGCAATCCAGCCAGCTAATGGAAAGTCAGTGTCTCTACTTAGGTGTCGGTTCATGCCTAAAATAATGCATGGCAGGGCACCTGAGGTCTTTCTCCACCAGAAAAGCTGGAACATAGCAATATGACCAAGACTGTGTTGGTGTGACGTAAAACCCAATCAAACAAACAAACATGATGTGTCCAAAGAAATCAAAACACTTTGTATGATCATTATTTATAAAATATAAGTTTGAAACAGCAGTGGCATAAGACATGTTTACCTCTGCCGAATCATCAAACTGGAGAGCCATGGTGGCCCTGGATATCTCACCTGAGATATAACTATTGCTAAACAAGAGCTGTGGGTAGGACAGCAAAGCTCGACTATTCTTAGTGCTTGATAGTAAAAGAGACTTGATAATGTAAAATTTTCTAAATTTACAAAAGGGCAAAATTTTTCTTTAAATCCATGTTACAGTTATAGGCCTTGGAAAGAGTCCTATAATGCTCTCAAAGAAGAGTATAAAATTTCAACTTGTTTCAGTGCCAGATATCAATAGAATATGAAAATATCTGAGGTGGTATGCAAATTTAAAAGTAAATTCTAAGTTGAAAAAGGGGCATTTTTCTGTCAAAAATGCTAATAAAGTTACCTCCTCCTGTCTACAGGTAGAGGTCATGATGGTGAACAAGTGTGCAAAGTTTCAAAGCCATATGTCCATGGACTTTGAAAATATTCTAGGTTTTACAAAAACTTTTACAAAAGTGGTTATGCAGACACCCACACTCGGGTGACTACAATAGCTCTTCTTATTCTTATCGAATAGTCGAGCTAAAAAGGACATCTGTTTTATTTTTCATATGTTAAAGGCAATAATGACTTTACATTAGCTTTGTCAATTTTTACCCAAGTTGCATATTTTTTTAAATATTTCTAGATGTCTGTTAATGTGCTATGAACTGCTTCATAACAAATCACGGTGTAAGCTCTTGGCACTGTAATTTCACATAAAAAGAATTAATTAATCTGAATGTGTTTTACTTTGCAAGTCTATATATAAGTGACCTCTGGGGCAAAAATAAATTTTGACCTCAGCGGCATGATTTACATAAATTTTGAAGTGGATTACAAATCAATGACCCCCATTGCGTTGCCATATTTTACCTCAGGGGCTTGACTTACATAGCTTTCGTAGCCATCCACTAGGCAATGCTACATGCTAAATATTGAGACTCTTGTATTTTCACAAAAGATGACTTAAATGTATTTTCCTATACAGTTTATATAAACTAAGTGACCCCTTTGGAAGGGCCAGTTTTGACCATAGGGGCATGATTTATATAACTTATATGCAAAATTAATATGAGCAGCGTCACCACAAAACCAACATAGTGCGTTTGCGACCAGCATGGATCCAGACCAGCCTGCGCATCTGCGCAGTCTGATCAGGATCCATGCTGTTCGCTATCAGTTTCTATACTTGTAATAGGGTTGGTTAGCGAACAGCATGGATCCTGATCATACTGCGCAGATGCGCAAGCTGGTCTGGATCCATGCTGGTCGCAAACCCATTATGTTGGTTTTGTCATGACGCAGCTCATATCTCAATCTGATCATTGCACTTGCAGAGAAGACACGAGCCAATAGAAGGCGGGCCATTTTTTTCCTGATTCGTGAAGGTCACTTTTGTTGTGACTGATAAAGAAATCCAAGTGCACAGAACCTCTGCTCTAGCATGTACAGAAGTTACAAATTCCTTGCAAAAGGGATGGCAAGTAGTACTGGAAAAGTGCTTGATGTGGTAGCTGAACTGTGCTCTGGTGATTTCAATGTGGCTTACTTATTAAAGTTACTGCCATGAACCAGAGGGTTTTAACTACCATCGCAACTACTACCACCTAAATGTCATTCCTGAACACACTACACAACCACCACAAAAGCTACCCTCTAAAATGCCCAGGTAAGGTAAAAATAAAGCAAGTTAATAAATATTAGCCTATCAATTGTTAAATACTTTTCATCAATTATTTCTTACTTGTTATTATAGGACCAAGCTGTAAATTTATCTCTAGGACTTGGTAACAGTTCTGATTCTGGTATTATATGTTTCCATGTCAGCTGTTGTAAGTCTAAACAGTATAATTCATTTGTGTCGCCATTCTTCGTGTGACCTCCAAATATATACATCTTACTGGCAATTAGTAAGCCTGAAGCACCAGAGGTTCCTGGTGGAATGTCACCCTCGGTTACATGTTCAGTCCTACAAAACCACAAAAAAACAACACCTGGTTACAATTTGTTGAAACAATAACATGTAAAAGGGTTCATTATAACTGAGTTACTCCTTACATTTATTATATGATACTGATATTGTAGTATTTACCACCATTTTTCTACTGTCTGATCAATGCATAACAGTTACATGTAGTGCTTTTTTCCCAAAATTTTGACATCTTTTTGTTAATTTACATTTGCAAACTACTTTCTTTGTTCACTTCACAATATTTTACTTTTAAAATTTAATATACATGTGTATATAAATTTAAAAAACTTTAATAAAAATTAGCATGAATCATGCTTCTTTAACAAAATCTGCAAACAATAAAGAATAAACTTCCATATGGGTGTGTTTTTTTTCTGCACTTACCAATAGCCAACATCAAGGTCTGTGTGATACACTGTAATGGTATTTGCAGGTAAATATTTTTCTCTAAATGAAAAATAATCACCCTGAAACAAACACGTTATGATAAATAAGATACATTTTTATTAAATATTTGAAATATTTTACAAAAGTGCAAAGTGATTGACAATTTATTAATATCATCTGCAAAACAATCAAGCTTCAGTCAAACCATGGTTCATGACATATATAGAAGATAAAGGTCTTGTTACCAATGACTCATTGACAGACACTTTTTCTGTCGATTGGCCACTCAGTGTTTTTTACCAACAAAACATTGTTTGAGTAGGCAAATCATTTCAGGCCATAACAACACTATTCCACAAGAAACTCTTAACAAGAGCTGTCGGTAGGACAGCAACGCTCGACTATTCTTAGTGCTTGATAGTAAAAAAAAATGCTTGATACAGTTACCATCTCCTGTTTACAGGTTGGGGTCATGATGGTGAACAAGTGTGCAAAGTTTCAAAGCCATATGTCAATGGACTTTGAAAATATTTGAATTATTACAAAAACTTTAACGTAAATTCTAAGTTGAAAAAGGGGCATAATTCTGTCAAAATGCTTGATAGAGTTACCTCCTCCTGTCTACAGGTTAGGGTTATGATGGTAAACAAGTGTGCAAAGTTTCAAAGCCATATGTCAATGGACTTTGAAAATATTTGAACTATTACTAAAACTTTAACGTAAATTCTAAGTCGAAAAAGGAGCATAATTCTGTCAAAATGCTTGATAGAGTTACCTCCTCCTGTCTACAGGTTGGGGTCATGATGGTGAACAAGTGTGCAAAGTTTCAAAGCCATATGTCAATGGACTTTGAAAATATTTGAACTATTACAAAAACTTTAACATAAATTCTAAGTCGAAAAAGGGGGATAATTCTGTCAAAATGCTTGATACAGTTACCTCCTCCTGTCTACAGGTTGGGGTCATGATGGTGAACAAGTGTGCAAAGTTTCAAAGCCATATGTCAATGGACTTTGAAAATATTTGAACTATTACAAAAACTTTAACATAAGTGGTTACGGCGACGCCGACGCTCGGGTGACTACAATAGCTCTACTTATTCTTATCGAATAGTCGAGCTAAAAATGTCAGTGTTAGCATTCACTTCATTTGATATAATATATTGATCTCAAATTTTTATTTGCTGTATCAAATAGACTGAATCTGAAACCTAATTTCGAACATATAGACTGCCTAATAATTTCTGATAGGTGAAAATATTCACCATTTCGTCGCCATCTTGCCAAAATGTTTGATCATGTGACTACGAGATGAACCTTTACGGGTTATTTATGCGTAGACAGTTAAGAAAACAGTACTATATGCTTTTAACCTTCTTTACAAATTACTTTTTTTCTCTCAAAAATTATAAAAGATGATCTGCCGATTTATAATTTACTTTTTTATTTAAGTATGAAAAATAAAAATAGAAGTAAACAAAAGCTTTAGGTGATCCCATGTGTTGCCTTATGATAGTCTATTGCATGTTGCACTTTTACTTCTGTGTAGCAGGAGGCACCAAAGTCATGCAAAATGCGTTTTTAATTCAATGGCTATAACTTGGCCAAAATTATTCAACCGGAAAACCTGCATAACATGCCCAAGTACTTGAGCTACCAATCAATCCTGTAAAGTTTCATTAAAATTGCATTAGTGGTATAAGAATAGCAGTCCAAATAAACTTTAAAAATAAAAATTATTAAAGGGCCATAACTCTGACAAAAATCATTCAACTGATAATTGCCGACAATATGCACAACCACACTTGGTACTGATCATCCTTTTAAAGTTTGGATTAAATTGCATCAGTAGTTTTTCATAAAATTCTGTCATGTCAAGAAAGATGCTCTATATATAGTATGTGCCTGTACTCTAAGCGATTCCTCTTAACTATATGATACATTGGTCTTCTGTAACTCCTAATTATAATTAACTTGGACCATGGTCAACATCTGCCTGTTGATTTTTCCTTTCTATCTCTCTATCTTCCATTAATGTCAAACCTCTCGTGGAGAGATAGACATGACTCTAGATTAGTCACTTCAGAGGAAGCTATGAGATACAAGACTAGTGCACCCCTAGTTAGGTAGGAAAAACTGAGTGTCTCTGAAAAATCCAAAGGGTGTTACCCTGTCCCAGGATCGAACCCGGGATAATTAGGAAAAGGATATAAAATTTGCAAATAATTTATCAATGCAGCCTACAAACCTGGCACCCTCCCCACACAATCATTAAGTCATTCGCTGCCACAGCAACATGTCCAGCCCTTGGTGGAACAGTTTCAAAAGTAAAGGTAGTTGCATTCATGGATGGGCTCCAAATCTTATTTACACAAACTGAAAGTGAAATGTGTTGACAACTTCTGACACATCACATGGAAGCTTGAAATATCGCCTACACTACAACGATTAAAAAAATCTTACGAATAAATATAATATTGTTATCGTCTCAAGCATTTTTTCGTGACAGTCGTTCTAGAAATGACTGGTTAATGATTCGATGATTCTTAAGGTGATCCTGGATGTGATGAAGTGTAGTACTTTTGAATTAATTTCGTAACAGTCGCGTAAAATTCTGGGCAGAAAACTGTTTTTGAATACTTCAGTTCTTGCCTACATGTATGTATACATTGTATTATCCATTTTATTATGGTGGCAAACGTTTTATGTAACAAATAGGATTTCATGCCGAAATGTCTAAGCCTTTGCAGAATATAATAGTTTACTGCATATTCTTTTGTTTTGTTTTTTTGTTTGTTTTTTTTTTGGGGTGGGGGTTCGAGTTTTGAATAGCCACCGTGTATATCTAGTAACGCAGGAATGTGAAAATAACGCAGAAATTGTGCAAAAGTAACGCAGAATTGTGCAATTTAGTGGCTAAAACGAGCACCGCCATAAGTAAATGGTCCAATATTTTTTATTGTACACCAAATTGGAATAAATGAGTTAGCGCATACGGTTGCTGAGACATTATATATCCGTTAAACCTCATCAAAAATATTTCCATGAAAAAGTTTATTTTTCAAGATCATTCGCGAAAATAAGAACCTGACTAGCGTATTTATGGCGATTTTTGTTTCGTTGATATCTTTAAATACAATAACGTACGTATTACTTTATGATTTTTTATATTCGGTGTTCCTGAGTCATTTTCCAATCTACTCATGCATGTCATATATTACACTTGATGTAACAGATAAAATGTAATTGAGACCATTTTTACGAGTTAACGCCGGATTCGTGAATGAAGCACTGACTCAACGGCGGTTATCTCATTAAAAGTAGCTAAATCCTATTTTACCAGCTTCCTTCATATTGTAAAAGTTTTAAAAATATTTAACAAATTTTTCTATCAATCCCAATCTCAAATTGGAGATACTTCTGGAAAAAAAGATAGGTGTTAGACTTATAAATTTAAAATTATAAGATGTAGATGTTGAAAAGTAGATCAGTGACTTTAATTGTCAATTTTTTAGACTTAAGATAAATGTTGTTTGTTATCACTCACATATGTCTGTAAACGTGTTCATAAATGAGTTTAAAATTTCGTCATTTTGATGTTAAAATGTTGAATTCTGGTTAAACCGTTGCTGGGGGGGGGGGGGGGGGTGGCGTTTTCATAAAACATCAATTACCAAGATATGTTTTTTTGTCATTTTTGTCTCTTTTCATAGACATGATTTTCTATGATATATTGTGCAGCAATCGATTGGAGATAAGCTCAGAATTGTTTTACCCGCAACCAACTGATATACTTGCAAACAGTTAACATATGTGTTTATAATTTAACTAAATATCATCATCAAGCCATCATCATCATCATCATCATCATAATCATAATCAATGATCATCATCATCATCATGATCATAATTGATCATCATCATAAAAAGTAACAATCGCAACACGAATTTTAACTACTTTTGGATATTAAAATTGATATTTCTAATAATATCAGGACATTTTACTTTCTTCATTTTACTTATGAATTAATTTATGCTGATATTTTTTTAATAAATTCATAGATTTTTGCCATATAAGGTGTAGAGCACTATAACAGAGGCAAAACGTGCATGTATTCGAAAGTCATTAAACGAAAGGAATTGTTTCAGCTCGCAAGACAGCTAGGGCACAATGATATGTCCATCTATTGTGGAATACTAGTATTTGTAAATAAAAAACCAATGACTTCCCTTCAAATGTCACTATTTATTCACTTTAAAAGAGAAAAAAGAGTAATTGTTTTCTAACATTTTATTATTTGTAAAATCAGTTTAACAACATATATATAAAACATAACGATAAAAGCACAACAGGAAAATGCATAACAATATTCGTTTAACATGATGAATACCTCGACAACTCCGTGATACACACAAGACAGACAGAAAAAGCAAGATGTAGTGTAAAAAAGAAAGAAATGTCTATCACAGTGGTTATTCAAATCACAGTCTGATGTTTGTTCGAAATAACACAACAATTTCTTCATTTCAAACGAAAGTATCAGATTTTGACATTCAAGCACAGTTTGTTGATATTAAATGGAACACAGTCATCCTATATCAAATCAAAATCTTAGCCGAAGTCCCTTGCCAATATCTGACGTTTTGCGTGGTCTGTCGCCTGCTGACCATGACTTTGATTTTACCCGGAAGTGACGCAAGTCGTCTCTGTGTTCCTTGTGCAACATTGGTTTGTACGTCTGTGGGAAACATTGTTCCTGGAAGAAAAACAGATGAAAGTGAAATTTTGATAACCTTATATTAATTACAGTTTCATTTTAATTTATAGATCGTGAAGCTTATTATTTTGATATATTAAATTAGAAGCAATGTTTGCATTAAAAACTGCATAAATTTACTTTTAGACATGATCAAGATGAAATATTTTCTATGAATAAATTTATAAGCAAATGATTTGAAAGGTTTCAAAATTTTTACAAAGATATCAATGTTTAAATTTAATCAAAGGCTTACCTTGTTTGTGTTGAAGAAAGCTTTATAACCTCCTTCTAAGAGATAAATCTCGGGAAAGTTGAGTCGAGGGTAGTTGTCTTTGTTCAAATCTCGATCTAGAGCCCTTAAGTGGCGATACCTGAAACAAATATTTCATTTTTATTAAACTCCAATAAATAATTGAAAGAAATAAGAAATGAAAGAAAGATTAAAACTCTTTATCGGAGATGACATTGTTGTGATGAATTGAAACATGGAATATATCTTTTCCGTGTTGAATACATTACTTAAATATGGTTAATATAATTGGTAAACTTAATGAATGTATAATGCTGAAGTTCTCTTACATTTTTGGTCCTCTTTCAGAAGAAAATTCGCAGTGGAAAATGAGAACATGGTTGTTTGTTGGTGACGTCACTGTTTCTTGGATGAATTGTTTTATCGATTCTTTAGTAAATAAATTGACAGCTCCCTGAAAAATAGATAGAATAAATTTATAACAACGTAAAATATCAGTAAAGTTAAAAAAAAATATGCTATAATAATTGACGTCGATAACTAAATAATTACATATAAAATGTAAAATATCACTTAAAAGAGCACAACATTGGATCCGCAAATTCTATATTAGTACTAACATAATGATTCTTTTGAATTTACCTTTATATGACCGCCTCCGAATTCATACGGATATCTACAGTCTATAATCGTTACTTTGTCAACACTGCTGTCGTAGACGCCGTCCAGGACGTCAGACATCGTTTCCGGTGAGATGGCGCTAAGATCGCTATGCTTTCCTGGAATTGTGGGTAGAATATTGACACGTGATCCGTCTGCAATAAGGTCAGATTCTGTAGACAGCTTATCAACAGCTTGTATGATGCTCGATATTGGGCTAAGAGTTGTCACTTCTGGTTTGGGTGTTGATGTGAAGCAATGAAATCGTCTTCTCTTCAGTGTAGGGGTTAAATCGAGACTTTCCGCTTGGCGTTTAACAGGTCCTTTCACATCATTTGCAGTTATTCCAAAATCTAACCTCGTTCTGAAAATATTTAAATAAATTTTAGTTACAATAAATGGAAGATGAAAGAGAAAAAATGGCACACGTTTATCATATTGTAAATAATAATTACTGAGAATTCATTTTATATAAAATAAAATCTACTGCAACGTTTATGTTATATCATGATTTTATATTGTCTGAACTTGAAAATTAATTCAATATTATATAATAGTTGTTTACCTTGTGTTTCTTGCCAAAGTTACGTCAGTGAAATCTGAAGGTAGCGGAGGCATTGTTGATATTATTTCTTTCTGTTTGTGAATGTAAATATATAAGATCAGAAGGTTGAATGATGAAAAATTCCATATTTTTTCTTTATATACCATTTGAAAAATTTTGCCTACAGAAATTTTGAAAACAGCTCATTGAATTAGCAAACTGTGACGAGATTGTTTGATTGTTTTGATAACATTGAGCTAGTACAGTCGCCGCCGTCATCGCCCCGACCGGTGTTAAAAACATCACAGCGGCATAATTAACTCGCCATCAAATTATTATTAGTATCTATTGTTATGATAATTAGCGATGATTACAGATCAATATTGTTTCTGATAGTTCACGAACTTCTCATTAGATCAAATATCGATTAAAGGTATTTGGTAAAAAAAAATCTTGTCTGATTTATATCTTAAAGAAAATATTTTTATTACATATTTAGACTTTATCTGCAAAGTCGAAATTTTTGTTTTACATTTCATAACGAAATCAATAGTTGGGAAAAATATGTTATGTCTTTAATAGTTTTGTTGGCTTACGGACGAATCGTCCACTTCCATTCATGAGTAAATGTTAATAATTTGTTAAATACCGAGTAAATATAAGACTGTTTTACAGCGTAAATTAAAATGACAATACAGAAGCTGTAAAGAAAACGAAAAAATATTATCGAAGTAAGAGACGTGTGAACATAACAGTATAAACACGAGTACATTTGTATTACACAATGCAACAAATTTTGTACATTTCTCAATTATCAATTATTTCAATAATACTAGTATTATGTGACGTCACGATACGAATTCAATATTTATTTTATTCATTTATTTACGTATTATCATGGCATTACTGTGCATCAGATATACAGCATAAAAAATAAGTGTCATTCAATATTGTCTAAAGTTCTTTAATCATTGCAAATTGATCATCATCTTCTTTGATCATCATCATCATCGACATCACCAACATCACCATCATCAACAAGCTATCATCATCATCATTATCATCATCAACAACACCACCAACATTATCATCATTGATCATTTTTATTGATCATCCTCATCACCATTGTCAAACCCGTCATCATCAAGCCATCATCGTCACTGATCATCATCATAATCATAATCAATGATCATCATCATCATCATGATCATAATTGATCATCATCATAAAAAGTAACAATCGCAACACGAATTTTAACTACTTTTGGATATTAAAATTGATATTTCTAATAATATCAGGACATTTTACTTTCTTCATTTTACTTATGAATTAATTTATGCTGATATTTTTTTACTAAATTCATAGATTTTTGCCATATAAGGTGTAGAGCACTATAACAGAGGCAAAACGTGCATGTATTCGAAAGTCATTAAACGAAAGGAATTGTTTCAGCTCGCAAGACAGCTAGGGCACAATGATATGTCCATCTATTGTGGAATACTAGTATTTGTAAATAAAAAACAATGACTTCCCTTCAAATGTCACTATTTATTCACTTTTAAAAGAGAAAAAAGAGTAATTGTTTTCTAACATTTTATTATTTGTAAAATCAGTTTAACAACATATATATAAAACATAACGTTAAAAGCACAACAGGAAAATGCATAACAATATTCGTTTAACATGATGAATACCTCGACAACTCCGTGATAAAAGACAGACAGAAAAAGCAAGATGTAGTGTAAAAAAGAAAGAAATATGTCTATCACAGTGGTTATTCAAATCACAGTCTGATGTTTGTTCGAAATAACATAAAAAAATTCTTCATTTCAAACGAAAGTGTCAGATTTTGACATTCAAGCACAGTTTGTTGATATTTAATGGAACACAGTCATCCTATTTCAAATCAAAATCTTAGCCGAAGTCCCTTGCCAATATCTGACGTTTTGCGTGGTCTGTCGCCTGCTGACCATGACTTTGATTTTACCCGGAAGTGACGCAAGTCGTCTCTGTGTTCCTTGTGCAACATTGGTTTGTACGTCTGTGGGAAACATTGTTCCTGGAAGAAAAACAGATGAAAGTGAAATTTTGATAACCTTATATTAATTACAGTTTCATTTTAATTTATAGATCGTGAAGCTTATTATTTTGATATATTAATTTAGAGGCAATGTTTGCATTAAAAACTGCATAAATTTACTTTTAGACATGATCAAGATGAAATATTTTCTATGAATAAATTTATAAGCAAATGATTTGAAAGGTCTCAAAAATTTTACAAAGATATCAATGTTTAAATTTAATCAAAGGCTTACCTTGTTTGTGTTGAAGAAAGCTTTATAACCTCCTTCTAAGAGATAAATCTCGGGAAAGTTGAGTCGAGGGTAGTTGTCTTTGTTCAAATCTCGATCTAGAGCCCTTAAGTGGCGATACCTGAAACAAATATTTCATTTTTATTAAACTCCAATAAATAATTGAAAGAAATAAGAAATGAAAGAAAGATTAAAACTCTTTATCGGAGATTACGTTGTTGTGATGAATTGAAACATGGAATGTATCTTTTCCGTGTTGAATACATTACTTAAATATGGTAAATATAATTGGTAAACTTAATGAATGTATAATGCTGAAGTTCTCTTACATTTTTGGTCCTCTTTCAGAAGAAAATTCGCAGTGGAAAATGAGAACATGGTTGTTTGTTGGTGACGTCACTGTTTCTTGGATGAATTGTTTTATCGATTCTTTAGTAAATAAATTGACAGCTCCCTGAAAAATAGATAGAATAAATTTATAACAACGTAAAATATCAGTAAAGTTAAAAAAAATATGCTATAATAATTGACGTCGATAACTAAATAATTACATATAAAATGTAAAATATCACTTAAAAGAGCACAACATTGGATCCGCAAATTCTATATTAGTACTAACATAATGATTCTTTTGAATTTACCTTAATATGACCGCCTCCGAATTCATACGGATATCTACAGTCTATAATCGTTACTTTGTCAACACTGCTGTCGTAGACGCCGTCCAGGACGTCAGACATCGTTTCCGGTGAGATGGCGCTAAGATCGCTATGCTTTCCTGGAATTGTGGGTAGAATATTGACACGTGATCCGTCTGCAATAAGGTCAGATTCTGTAGACAGCTTATCAACAGCTTGTATGATGCTCGATATTGGGCTAAGAGTTGTCACTTCTGGTTTGGGTGTTGATGTGAAGCAATGAAATCGTCTTCTCTTCAGTGTAGGGGTTAAATCGAGACTTTCCGCTTGGCGTTTAACAGGTCCTTTCACATCATTTGCAGTTATTCCAAAATCTAACCTCGTTCTGAAAATATTTAAATAAATTTTAGTTACAATAAATGGAAGATGAAAGAGAAAAAATGGCACACGTTTATCATATTGTAAATAATAATTACTGAGAATTCATTTTATATAAAATAAAATCTACTGCAACGTTTATGTTATATCATGATTTTATATTATCTGAACTTGAAAATTAATTCAATATTATATAATATTTGTTTACCTTGTGTTTCTTGCCAAAGTTACGTCAGTGAAATCTGAAGGTAGCGGAGGCATTGTTGATATTATTTCTTTCTGTTTGTGAATGTAAATATATAAGATCAGAAGGTGAATGATGAAAAATTCCATATTTTTTCTTTATATACCATTTGAAAAATTTTGCCTACAGAAATTTTGAAAACAGCTCAATGAATTAGCAAACTGTGACGAGATTGTTTGATTGATTTTGATAACATTGAGCTAGTACAGTCGCCGCCGTCAACGCCCCGACCGGCGTTAAAAACATCACAGCGGCATAATTAACTCGCCATCAAATTATTATTAGTATCTATTGTTATGATAATTAGCGATGATTACAGATCAATATTGTTTCTGATAGTTCACGAACTTCTCATTAGATCAAATATCGATTAAAGGTATTTGGTAAAAAAAAATCTTGTCTGATTTATATCTTAAAGAAAATATTTTTATTACATATTTAGACTTTATCTGCAAAGTCGAAATTTTGGTTTTACATTTCATTACGAAATCAATAGTTAGAAAAAATATCTTATGTCTTTAGTAATTTTGTTGGCTTACGGACGAATCGTCCACTTCCATTCATGAGTAAATGTTAATAATTTGTTCAATACCGAGTAAATATAAGACTGTTTTACAGCGTAAATTAAAATGACAATACAGAAGCTATAAAGAAAACGAAAAAATATTATCGGAAGTAAGAGACGCGTGAACATAACAGTATAAACACGAGTATTACACAATGCAACAAATTTTGTACATTTCTCAATTATCAATTTTTTCAATAATACTAGTATTATGTGACGTCACGATACGAATTCAATATTTATTTTATTCATTTATTTACGTATTATCATGACATTACTGTGCATCAGATATACAGCATAAAAAATAAGTGTCATTCAATATTGTCTAAAGTTCTTTAAGCATTGCAAATTGATCATCATCTTCTTTGATCATCATCGACATCACCATCATCAACAACCTATCATCATCATCATCATTATTATCATCATCAACAACAACACCACCAACATTATCATCATTAATCATTTTTATTGATCATCCTCATCACCATTGTCAAACCCGTCAGCATCAAGCCATCATCGTCACTGATCATCATCATAATCATAATCATTGATCATCATCATAAAAAGTAACAAACGCAACACGAATTTTAACTACTTTTGGATATTAAAATTGATATTTCTAATAATATTAGGACATTTTACATTCTTCATTTTACTTATGAAGTAATTTATGCTGATATTTACTAAATTCATAGATTTTTGCCATATAAGGTGTAGAGCACTATAACAGAGGCAAAACGTGCATGTATTCGAAAGTCATTAAACGAAAGAAATTGTTTCAGCTCGCAAGACAGCTAGGGCACAATGATATGTCCATCTATTGTGGAATACTAGTATTTGTAAATAAAAAACAATGACTTCCCTTCAAATGTCACTATTTATTCACTTTAAAAGAGAAAAAAGAGTAATTGTTTTCTAACATTTTATTATTTGTAAAATCAGTTTAACAACATGTATATAAAACATAACGTTAAAAGCACAACAGGAAAATGCATAACAATATTCGTTTAACATGATGAATACCTCGACAACTCCAAAAAAGACAGACAGAAAAAGCAAGATGTAGTGTAAAAAAGAAAGAAATATGTCTATCACAGTTGTTATTCAAATCACAGTCTGATGTTTGTTCGAAATAACATAAAAATTTCTTCATTTCAAACGAAAGTATCAGATTTTGACATTCAAGCACAGTTTGTTGATATTAAATGGAACACAGTCATCCTATATCAAATCAAAATCTTAGCCGAAGTCCCTTGCCAATATCTGACGTTTTGCGTGGTCTGTCGCCTGCTGACCATGACTTTGATTTTACCCGGAAGTGACGCAAGTCGTCTCTGTGTTCCTTGTGCAACATTGGTTTGTAAGTCTGTGGGAAACATTGTTCCTGGAAGAAAAACAGATGAAAGTGAAATTTTGATAACCTTATATTAATTACAGTTTCATTTTAATTTATAGATCGTGAAGCTTATTATTTTGATATATTAATTTAGAGGCAATGTTTGCATTAAAAACTGCATAAATTTACTTTTAGACATGATCAAGATGAAATATTTTCTATGAATAAATTTATAAGCAAATGATTTGAAAGGTCTCAAAATTTTTACAAAGATATCAATGTTTAAATTTAATCAAAGGCTTACCTTGTTTGTGTTGAAGAAAGCTTTATAACCTCCTTCTAAGAGATAAATCTCGGGAAAGTTGAGTCGAGGGTAGTTGTCTTTGTTCAAATCTCGATCTAGAGCCCTTAAGTGGCGATACCTGAAACAAATATTTCATTTTTATTAAACTCCAATAAATAATTGAAAGAAATAAGAAATGAAAGAAAGATTAAAACTCTTTATCGGAGATGACATTGTTGTGATGAATTGAAACATGGAATATATCTTTTCCGTGTTGAATACATTACTTAAATATGGTTAATATAATTGGTAAACTTAATGAATGTATAATGCTGAAGTTCTCTTACATTTTTGGTCCTCTTTCAGAAGAAAATTCGCAGTGGAAAATGAGAACATGATTGTTTGTTGGTGACGTCACTGTTTCTTGGATGAATTGTTTTATCGATTCTTTAGTAAATAAATTGACAGCTCCCTGAAATATAGATAGAATAAATTTATAACAACGTAAAATACCAGTAAAGTTAAAAAAATTATGCTACAATAATTGACGTCGATAACTAAATAATTACATATAAAATGTAAAATATCACTTAAAAGAGCACAACATTGGATCCGAAAATTCTATATTAGTACTAACATAATGATTCTTTTGAATTTACCTTAATATGACCGCCTCCGAATTCATACGGATATCTACAATCTATAACCGTTACTTTGTCAACACTGCTGTCGTAGACGCCGTCCAGGACGTCAGACATCGTTTCCGGTGAGATGGCGCTAAGATCGCTATGCTTTCCTGGAATTGTGGGTAGAATATTGACACGTGATCCGTCTGCAATAAGGTCAGATTCTGTAGACAGCTTATCAACAGCTTGTATGATGCTGGATATTGGGCTAAAAGTTGTCACTTCTGGTTTGGGTGTTGATGTGAAGCATTGAAATCGTTTTCTCTTCATTGTAGGAGTTAAATCGAGACTTTCCGCTTGGCGTTTAACAGGTCCTTTCACATCATTTCCAGTTATTCCAAAATCTAACCTCGTTCTGAAAATATTTAAATAAATTTTAGTTACAATAAATGGAAGATGAAAGAGAAAAAATGGCACACGTTGATCATATTGTAAATAATAATTACTGAGAATTCATTTTATATAAAAAAAAATCTACTGCAACGTTTATGTTATATCATGATTTTATATTGTCTGAACTTGAAAATTAATTCAATATTATATAATAGTTGTTTACCTTGTGTTTCTTGCCAAAGTTACGTCAGTAAAATCTGAAGGTAGCGGAGGCATTGTTGATATTATTTCTTTCTGTTTGTGAATGTAAATATATAAGATCAGAAGTTGAATGATGAAAAATTCCATATTTTTTCTTTATATACCATTTGAAAAATTTTGCCTAAAGAAATTTTGAAAACAGCTCATTGAATTAGCAAACTGTGACGAGATTGTTTGATTGGTTTTGATAACATTGAGCTAGTAAAGTCGCCGCCGTCATCGCCCCGACCGGTGTTAAAAACATCACAGCGGCATAATTAACTCGCCATCAAATTATTATTAGTATCTATTGTTATGATAATTAGCGATGATTACAGATCAATATTGTTTCTGATAGTTCACGAACTTCTCATTAGATCAAATATCGATTAAAGGTATTTGGTAAAAAAAATCTTGTCTGATTTATATCTTAAAGTAAATATTTTTATTACATATTTAGACTTTATCTGCAAAGTCGAAATTTGGGTTTTACATTTTATTACGAAATCAATAGTTGCGTGAAGACGCGTGAACATAACAGTATAAACACGAGTATTACACAATGCAACAAATTTTGTACATTTCTCAATTATCAATTTTTTCAATAATACTAGTTAGTAGTATTATGTGACGTCACGATACGAATTCAATATTTCTTTTATTCATTTATTTACGTATTATCATGACATGACTGTACATCATACATACAGCATTAAAATAGAATACATTTTATGTAGTAATAGGTCATTCAATATTGTTTTATATGAAACATAAATATAACAAAATTACTTTTATAAGCTTTACATGGATACAAACTAAACATGTACATCTTAAAAACTTCCAGGGAGCGTTGATGCGTGTTTTTTTCTTCTTTTTTTCCTCTCTTTACTGATAAAGTAATTAATAATTATGTCATTTCTTGCTATCTTCATATCAGGTGTCGAGCATTGCTAAAGATTATAGTAAGGACAACTAATTATACATATATGATATATCAGTAGCTGTGGATTACATTCACATTTAGATGTAGGTTTCATTTGAATATCGGACATATTTAACCTTACATTATAAGATCCAATATGATATCACCATTTTCATCACTGACCTTTGATAAAAATTGAAAAAAAATGAGTAAGACTAATAAAGGTATAAATGTCTGAAGTTCTCTGGTTAATCAACATTGATCATCATTATTATCATCATTGATCATCATCATCACCAGTATCGTCATCATCATCATCATTGATCATCATCAAAAAACAACAACAAACACAACAAGTATTCTAACTACTTTTGAATATTAAAATTGGTAATTTTCTAATAATATCAGGACAGTTTTCATTCTTCATTTTACTAATAAAGTAAATAATCTTATTAATTGTTTCTTATATCTTCGTAGACTTTTATCATATTATAAGTAGAGCACTATTACAGTTACTGTGAAGGCTAGTACAAAGTTTAGCAAGTGTTATTGTGAACAAATATAGGTTTGTTTGAGAAACGAGCTGCTAATGCCATTTCATACCAATAGATTACAATTTGTAATATCCTGTATCCTATAGAGCCTACAAAAAAGTAACATTTTATGGCCCATGAATCAAATAATGAAATGTCTTCTTTCTTTAAATAAAAGCCATGTATTCTTTTTTTATTTATTTAGAAATAATCAAAATAGCACATACAATAGAGGTAGAGACAAGTAAAAAATAACAAAAATATAACACAATGCAAAATAAAACGGTCAACAAAGTTGAGTGGTAAAATCAACTGCATCTAATATGAATCAATGAAATAATCAAAATAAAATTCAGAAACATGAATATTTGTAAAATTGATGTATGCTCCACAGTGTTGCTTTTATAAACATGGCCATGCTAGGAGTACACTTGAATTATAGCTGTGCTACACAGATAAGTAGAAAAATACATTTCGAGACACAGTGAACTTCAGCAAATCTGACTGAACTCCCGCTGAATGGTATAAGACTATTGATGGTATCAACAAACTAACTACTACTATCTAAGAAATCAGTCAATAAATGAAAGAGCTATGCCACAGCAGAAGATGAATCTGCAACTATTTGGTCACCCAGAAATTTTCCAGGAGCATAAAAACAAATTTAAGATTGAGCCGAGCACTCCACTATTCTCAGTGCTCAATAGTAAACTTAAGATTGTTACAGTGCCCTTGATATTACCTAAAGTGGGCATGGCGGCTATGACTCACAAAGGTGCTTCTGCATTCAAAGTCTGAAGTTTTCTGGGCAATGCACTCTGACTAAATGACCAATTTTATGTTTTGCTATTACAGGTGACTTTGACCTTTGACCTCAAATGGGTATGACGGATAGAACTTATAAGGTCTGATAAAGTAGCATTGTTAGTACACAAGTTAATGGCAATAACCTTAAAACTTAACCAAACAGGTAAATCAAAACCAACACTGCCGAGTGGCTCATCACAAAAGCCCCAATTTTTCTTCTAAAAATGGAGCAAATTAAAATGTTAAAATACAATGTATACAATAACATTGCACAGTACATGTGATAATACATAATAAAACAGATATCTATAAAGCCACTTGCTGTGCAGCATGAAAAGCTATTACATTTATAGCCCAGCATGATATTTTATTAACTTTTGGCACTACACTTTTGTATGTTCACTTAGATAATTTATTTTACATTGTGACAAAAAAACTAACTGCATGAAAGTGTTAAAAACTATACTTGAAAATAAGTCGTTAGGGAGGTTAGAGAAAATAAACTTTGCAAGAAAAAAAAATGAATAACTAATAAACAAGGTAGACACAAATGCAAATAGGATATAAAAATGAAGACAATAAGTAAATAGGCATGTCTTTTCTGAATTATCATCATACAAATTATTTCTTACAAAAACAAATGTGTCAGTTTTTCATATTTTCTATATATTTTTTTTTTCAAAATATTTTTTTTTAAAGAATTATACAAATACTTCATGTCTCACAGAAGGCTACAAGAACATTTCTCAATTATTGTTTTTCTGTAAAATCAGAAATTTTCATGAGGATTTAATTTTGCTAATTATGCAAAAATAAATATTTGTTAAGTTTCTACATGTACAAATATAAATTCAAAAGAACTGAATGTAGGAATTTACTAACATTTGTCATTGATCAATTTAAAATGTTGATTTTGCAAAATTCTGGTCTTGAAAAAATATCTGATTTTACACTAGTGATTTATCCCAAATGACATAATTTGGCATGTAGTATCATTTTGTGGTTGTTTACAACGGTTGAATATTAATTGCCATAGGAATAAAATAAAGTCTTGAGGTCCTTAACAGAAGTTATATAACCTAATGCCATAGTGTTTGACTTAAATATTAGGAAAACATATTCAAATTTGGAAGTAACATATACTGAAACCAATTGTTTGAATGAATGCCCTTTTTTATCAAATACAAATGAATGTAAATTTTGAAAATAAATTCTTGAGGATGAAATCAAAACTCATCTTGATGTGGATGGGTTGTTTTTATACAGTTTAAATGAAAGACAATGTAGTTTGTGATTAAAGTATACTGATATTCACTTCTAAATAACCACTATATTTTTAACCTAGAATTTATACATGTTAAATAGGATGTTAATTTATTGTGTCCAAATTTCATGACAGAACATCAAATTTATACATTGAGTAACATACAAAATAAATCTTAAATTCATATACCAAGTCAGATGAAATACGGCACAATAAATCTTTAATTTATACATTGAATCCCATAACATGCAGAACAATACATGTATATCTATACATCGAGTAAAATGTTTATTGTAAGAAAATACACTATTATTTATAAAACATTGGCTTAACATTTGTCTGGTTTTATGGTGATTTAAACACATTTTTGGTCATACAGTGTATCTTGGCAGTCGGTCCATTTCACTGGCTTTCCACAAAAACTAACCAGTAATTACCAATTTCTCTACTATTCCCACATGCCGTGAGAGACAAATGACCAAAAGACTCACTGTCCGAGATCAAATGTCACGGAGAATTTTCACTCGGCCCGAGGAGCAAACATTCTAATGCTCTCCCTATTGACCTAAGTGGATGGATGAACTGGCTATATAGAAGTATATATCAGTATATGTGAATGTATTTTTTAGCACATAACACAGGTACTGCCCTGTCTTATAGCATCTGGCTCATATGCGTCTATAAATTTAGTATTTTCAAGTCCTTTCCTCTTCAATAGCCAGTCATTTAGTGGTTTAGGTAGAATGGTCCATTTATCTGGCGAACAATGTATGTAAACAGTTTGTAGACATATTCTGAAAATATACAAGATACTTTACATTAACACTTTCCCTGCCAATGGAAAGACACATCTCATACAAACAATAATTTATCTGCCTAATTTTGTCATATATTATATTTGATTCAAGTTATGAAATAATTAATTTCATGTAAAGCTTTCTTAAACTTCTTCTAAAAGAAATATGTATATATAAATGGGAAAATACATCCATAATTCAAAAAATAACAAAATTCTTACATATGCTAATAAATATACAGTAAACTCTTGGCGAAGATATGATACAGTGAGTTGTTAAGGCATCTGCCTCTCACACCAGCTATTGTGTGTTCAAGCCTTACTCCAGTCACAACCAAGCTTTAAACTTCACCACAATCAAGCTACAAGTAATATATCTAAATACTTTTTTATGTTCAGTGCTTAAATTTAAACAGTATAACAGGTCATTTGTCAGCACCCAGTCACCTAATGTGAGTTTCTAGATTCTATACAGGTACTGATCTGTTTTGTTTTTCCACAAGCACCTGTCAACTTCTTATAAAATATATGGTATGGGAGGTTGATAAATGGAATTACCTATCAAACTAATTGTCATACTGTGTAAGTGATTAAGTGAAGATATGAAAATATTGGCGAATTTCACAAATTGATGAAAATCGCAAAAATTTCCTACAGCAGTAATATCAACCAACCTGTCTTTAATTCTACCCTTGCATGATTCACTTATATTTCCCTATGTTAAATGTCTGGAATTTTAAATTTGTTAATTTACAACATGCGGGGAAATATCCACTTACACATTATGTTACATCAAAATATTGTGCCTTGTTCAGCACTCAACCTTAACCACTTTTATGTCTCCAATGAGACGAAAGTCAGTCATCCTTCTTCCTGACCACGTTGTGTGCATTCATGTTGATAACAAGAAGTAGGAATCTCTTCACTGACATTGATATTACACAAATTTAGTATGGCACAGGTCATTTGCATCAAAGGAATTGTATGCTATTTATTCAAATAAAACTTTTAAGTCATTTTAAATCAAACATGTTAATAAACTACTGTTAAATATTTTTTGTACACATAACTTACCTTTGTAAACTATAAGGTTTAAGTTGGAAAGTCAGTACTTCATTTGATTGTTTCTGAAAAAAAAATTGCTTTGCCATTTTAGTCTTAAACATAAACAATTTATAAAAATCAAATCTGACCCTGTACTACAGTGGAATTTATTGTGGCCATTAGTTAATATTCTATAACAAAAGTTTGTCACAAAGTTTCATAATTTTTGTTCTAAAATATTGTGGATTTATTCTCTAATAAAGCCCCCAAAAAGTATAAAAAATAGTAGAATTAAGAGAGCACAATCAAATGCATGTACACAATAAAGTAACAAAGCCACATTATATAACATATGTACATATTATTTGATAAAGCTACTTCCTACTATATCAAACCACTTTTACCTCGGTCCATAACTTTACAAAAATATAAAATTTTGGGATCGATCACAAAACAATTATTGTGATTTCTGTTTTCATTTCGGTTTGAAACTTTCATTAATCATTATTTTGGCTAATATACTATGCCCAATAATGGTAAACATGTATCATCAATCACAACAGGTATAGACCCAGGCCAGTCTGTATATCTGTACAGTTTGATCAAGTCTTTTCGTTTGGCTACTAACATTTTTTCGTCTTCATTTCAAAAAAAAGTTGAGAATGGACCATTCCCAAAAGGGAAGTTGGATGAATACATTTAAGAAATTCAGCAACTCACTGCAACTTCATCCCATCTGAGTATATCATTTTCACATCCACCAAATATTAATACTTCACCATCAGTGGAACAACACGCTGTATGCCATAGTCTAGGTTTAAAAAAAGGCACCGTTATCTGTGACCACTGTCTGTCGGTCACATTCAATTGCCAAGCATCACCTGGTCATCAACAAAAGAAAGAAAAAGAAAATATAAATGCAATAAGAATTTTCAGATACTTCATAATTTTTTAATTCAACATGTATTGTGTAAAATCTTGGATCCATTGAGGTCTTTGTATCACACACAGGTTATCTATTGTGTTATAAATATAGGATATTGAATGAATGAAGGTTCCCTAATGAATTTATTGAACAAGTTGAATAAAATATACATTATTCGAGCCTCTGGAAAGCAAAATATTATTTTATTCAACAAGTTCAATAAATTCAGTAATAAATCTACACAAGTTTTATATTCAATTAATCACATACCCAAAATAAAGACTATTTAAATTGCAAAAGAATCATTTATTCAATGATGCGCCTATAGCATAATGCTAGCATTTAGCACAACTTTACAATATGTTTGTGTAACGAAAATGACATCATGTCAAAACATATGCACAGCCCTGCAATACCATTTTTACAGAGTTGTAAAATCGGAACGGGTATGTGATAAATTATTGTTTTTGCTTTTTCAAATGTATTTTGCTTTGGAACTGAAAATTTCTTTTTTTTTTCATAGTTAAAGGGGCATAACTCTGCCAAAAATCATCGAACCATGACCAAATTGAACTTGACTTGCGCATTCCTTTGACATATTATATATCCATATGCAAAATTTGAGCTGAATGTGTACTACCATTGGGGAGATAATGAATGGAAACTGAAAATTTCATCAAGGGGAATAACTCTGTCAAAAATCATTCAACAATGACCAAATTAGAACTATCTATGATATATCCATATGTCAAATTTGAGTTGAATATGTGCAACCGCTACCAAGATAGAGAACGGAAACTGATGGTGGAATGACGGAAGTACAGAATGACAAACAGGAGTAACCTGTTGTACAGGTAGGAGGCATGATTATGACCAAGTCTGCAAAGTTCTAAAGCCATATGTCAATGGACTTTGAAAATATTTGACGTGGTATGCAAACTTTAACATGGACAATCAGGGAACTAGGATATGTCTCCTTATACCTCCAAAAGTCAAGCTAAATATGCTAATAATAAAAGAGTGCACTGACTACAAGTTTCTCTAAGAAAATGACTTGTTTTCCTAAAAATTGAAATATTGTTATCATGAGTAAATCTCAAAGATAGTAATGTCCCAATAAAATTACTCACTTAAAGGAACATTGTCAGTAGAATATCCGCCATAAAGGAAGATAACTTCATCCGAGACAGCTGTAAAGGTATGCCATGATCTTCCACATGGACAGGCACCTTCAACATATAACCTGAAATGTAAAATGCATGAGAGAAAAAAAAGCTCACAGCTCCCATAAAAAAGCCATACGAAACAGAAATTAATTTGAAATGTGATGTTGTGAAATAGTTTAGATAAGCAGTAATATAATCACAAAGGTTTTGAGGGATTAATTACAAATTCTAACATGACTTATGAGTTTGTCACCATAAACAAAGATGGCAATAAAAAACTGGTGTAAAACTTGGCTGTTTTTGTTTGCATTAAAATGGATAAAGAATGGCACCATTTATATAACCAACAGCACCCTTTATATAATTAACAGTGTCATTCATATAACCAAAAGCACAATTTATATAACCAACAGATACCATTTATATATCCAACAACACCATTTATATAACCAACAGAACCATTTATATAACCAACAGAACCATTTATATAACCATTCATTAGCAGTGTAATGATGTCATCCAGTGAGCATCTCATTCATAGAATGATTATCTAGCATGGATGTTAACACTATACAATTCATAGTCATATGTAAATTTAAAGTGTTAAATTAATAATTGAACAAAATATATATACGATACATAAAGTTTTTTTCTTGTGATCTTGTTTCTTTTTTATAAAACAGAACAGCCAGATATGAAAATTGGCAACGTAAAAATATTATTTATTTTGCCTTATTACAATTGAAATAATAAGGGTCTGAGCACATTTTTCGGTTATTTAACACCGGTTTGTGGTTTTTAAAATCATTTGTGGTCAATTCCTACACATCAACGCCAGCAGTTTGGGTAAAATAAGCGCTCAACAATTTAACCTTAAAAAAATTATAACTGCCAAATGATATATACTTACTCTCCTGACCAAGTAAGAGTTTCTAATTCTAATGAATGTAGATCATTCATTCTTTTGCTGCCATGACGACCACCAAATAAATATACCACATTTTTTAATCTGACTGCTGTGTGAGCTGCTCGAGGAATTGGTACTGGTCCCTGAAACAGATACAAGGTACATGAATTTATAAAGATATTGCTACTAGCAGTTACATGAAGTTATAAAGGTATTGATACTGGTGCATGAAACAGACAGAAGGTACATGAATTTCTAATGATATTAAGACAGGTACATGAAATGGACAAAAAGTACATGAATTAATAAAGGTATTGGTACTGATTCATGAAACAGACAGAAGGTACATGAATTTATAATGATATTGAGACAGGGATGTACATGCAATGGTACTGTTCCCTGAAGGTACCTACAGAAGGTATGTGTACTAAGGTACTGCTTCCAGAATAGGAAATTTGTTGTTTATCCCTTATCTACTAATATAGCAATTGAATACTATTAATTTGATATGGAACAATTTTCTTATGTTTTTCTTAATAAATCTGTATTAATAAATAGGACATTCAAACTTTTGACTATTAATGATAGGAAAACAAAATGATTGAACAAATTTTGAATTTTTGTGTGTGAAATATTTGCTTATTCATTGCTTAAAAACTTAAAATAACCAGTAACATCTACATTAGCAACAAACAAAGAAAGGAGAACTACTTGACCGACAAAGAAAGGAAAACTACTTTAACAAACAAGAGCTGTCGGTAGGACAGCAACGCTCGACTATTCTTAGTGCTTGATAGTAAAAAAATTGCTTGATACAGTTACCTCCTCCTATTTACAGGTTGGGGTAATGATGGTGAACAAGTGTGCGAAGTTTCAAAGCCATATGTCAATGAACTTTGAAAATATTTGAGGTATTACAAAAACTTTAACATAAATTCTAAGTCGAAAAAGGAGCATAATTCTGTCAAAATGCTTGATAGATTTACCTCCTCCTGTCTACAAGTTGGGGTCATGATGGTGAACAAGTGTGCAAAGTTTCAAAGCCATATGTCAATGGACTTGGAAAATATTTAAGGTATTACAAAAACTTTAACATAAATTCTAAGTCGAAAAAGGGGCATAATTCTGTCAAAATGCTTGATAGAGTTACCTCCTCCTGTCTACAGGTTGGGGTAATGATGGTGAACAAGTGTGCAAAGTTTCAAAGCCATATGTCAATGGACTTTGAAAATATTTGAACTATTACAAAAACTTTAACATAAGTGGTTACGCCGACGCCGACGCTCTGGTGACTGCAATAGCTCTACTTATTCTTATCGAATGGTCGAGCTAAAAATGTAGGTACAAAATAATTTGATCATGAATTTTGATATGAACACACAGCAGAATAAGTAATAAGTATAGTACATGAAACGAGTTAGTTACGAGGATATAACACTGGCTGGGGTGACATCAAGCCATGATCAAGGGATGTTTCTGCTAAAATAAATCGCGAGACCGTTAGGCCGAGACTAATTAGTATAATCATAAATTATAAGCTATTAGAATATGATATCTTTAAAGAAGTCTAAATATAAACATATATGCCCATGAACTATGATGTACATATAAGTGATTTGAACTTAATCCATATGACTGTTAAGAGAACTAACAAGAGCTGTCAGTAGGACAGCAACGCTCGACTATTCTTAGTGCTTGATAGTTAAAAAAATGCTTGATACAGTTACCCCCTCCTATTAACAGGTTGGGGTAATGATGGTGAACAAGTGTGCAAAGTTTCAAAGCCATATGTCAATGGACTTTGAAAATATTTGAACTATTACAAAAACTTTAACATAAATTCTAAGTCGAAAAAGGGGCATAATTCTGTCAAAATGCTTGATAGAGTTACCTCCTCCTGTCTACAGGTTGGGGTCATGATGGTGAACAAGAGTGCAAAGTTTCAAAGCCATATGTCAATGGACTTTGAAAATATTTGAACTATTACAAGAACTTTAACATAAGTGGTTACGCCGACGCAGACGCCGACACTGACACCGACGCCGACGCTCGGGTGACTGCAATAGCTCTACTTATTCTTATCGAATAGTCGAGCTAAAAATGTCAAGGTCAGTCAGTACAAGCTTACTTGACTGAATATCTCATACCTTGCACCTTGGGTTACTCCATCTATTGCTTTCTATATCATACACAAGAAGTTGATTATTCCATTCCCTGTCTTGTGGCTGTAAAAGAAACGAAAAGTGAAGTGCATTTCCCTATCACAATTTCCATTAAAATAAGATGATACATGTACTTTTCTCAATATGGTAATGTTGAAAAAGACCTAGCTTATAAAAGATTTCTTCTATACACATATATTCCTTAATTGATAGATGCCTAGTCTGACCTTTAATTTAAACTGTATTCTTTTTTTAAGAAATATTTCAGACTGAAGTTTCTTTTTCTACTCCACTAATCTTATACCGGTTATTCAAATTGAACTGATTAGGATCATGAAGGGACCTATGCATTGCTGTTAAAATGAGAAATTTAATCATTTAACATCTTATGATACACATTATCTTGTATAATAAACTGTATAAAATAGAAACTTTTTCTATAAAATAGATTTAACCAGAGACCAGTATACAAAATTTATGATTTAACACATACCTACCATGGTTTCAATGTTTGCACAGTAATATGGGCAAATACATACAGTAATGCTTTCTGTCGCAAATTAATATAAAATAGAGAATTATCTATACAGTGTTTCTGGATACTGTACCAGTAATTAGTTTTTCACTTTTGCAAACAGCTTTGAAAGATTAATATCTTCAGCAAAACTAGCTTAAAAAACACTTTTAAATGCATCTACACGTCATTGTTGCCTCACTAGTTTTGGAGGGAGTGGGTTGGGTTATAAAACACACTGACAGTGTAACGGTCATATGGTACCATCCGGTTAGCGTTAGACTGTTAATCGGCCAATCTTGGTCCGATTCGCAGATGTGCAGGTCAATTTCATTGTGGTTGATCATGAAATCCTTTCTACAGTCATTTGCACTGTACCTCTGCTCTGGCATGTACAGAAGATATTAGATATTGGTTCCTTGCAAAAGCGAAGGCAACTAGTACTGGTAAACTGCTTGACAGTCCACCAATGTACAATGCGGTGGCTGAACTGTGCGTTGGTAAATTCATTGTGGCTAACTGCCGTGATCCAGAGTGAAAATTACCAACACCACCACCACTATGGTCATATGGCGTCCCTTCATTATTTCAAGCACAGAGGGCACTGAGTAGAACCATTAACATTCTGTGAGCTAAATGGACTAAATTAAAAGATTCAAAGTCCCTGATGAGATTCAAACCAACAGCAGTGAAGGAAGTAGAAAGAATATCACTGTTCCTCCATTCATTATTTTAGGTTCTAGTGATTACTGTAGACTATGATTTAGTAGATCCATTGGCATCCCCTTAACTGGTGGATAACTTGCATGATAGGCTACAGACTCACACCAGCATGGACGTAATGCTTGGAAACCTTATACCTGAACATCTCTACAACAGTTGTCTTTAATTATTTCAAATTCAATCAACCAAGAAAATATATGCTTAATACAGATCAGATATAATGAAAATATATAGCAAACTGTAACAACAAAACACATACTACTGTGGAATTAGTGTCCATGACAAACTCTCCATTTTCATAAAGATACTTTCCTGTTCTTATATTCACACCAAAACCACCAAAATAATATAATCTGAAGATAGGAAAAAAATTAAAGTATAATGATGTTATTTGAGCACCATGATTGAGCACCATGATTTTAAGCATTTCAAAATAAATTATGGTAATTAGTATAATCATAAATTATAAGCTATTAGAATATGATATCTTTATAAAAGTCTAAATATTAACATATATGGCCATGAATTATGATGTATATATAAGTGATTTGAACTTAATCCATATGACTGTTAAGAGAACTTAAAATGTAGGTACAAAATAATTTGATCATGAATTATGATATACAAGTTATATGAACACACAGCAGAATAAGAATATATAAATGTTAATTATTATGAATACTTTAAACACCTGTTTAGTATTAAGCTTAGAAAATAAACCCAAAAATATATCTTTTGTAAAAATACTTTTCTAAAAAGATTTACTTGTTATTATAAGACCAAGCTGTAAATTTATCTCTAGGACTTGGTAGCAGTTCTGATTCTGGTATTATATGTTTCCATGTCAGCTGTTGTAAGTCTAAACAGTATAATTCATTTGTGTTGCCTTCCTCCGTATGACCTCCAAATATATACATTTTACTTGCAATTAGTAAGGCTGAAGCACCAGAGGTTCCTGGTGGAATGTCACCCTCGGTTACATGTTGGGTCCTACAAAAACCACCAAAAAAAACAACACCTGGTTATATTTGTACATATCAGACACAAATCTCTACTATTACATTGGCACCAAATAAAAAGTCAATCTTTCGACATTTCAAAGCAGGTATCGGGTGAATAAAGAAATAAGTATAATATATGTATACATACATGTATAACTAGACTGTAGACATAAACTTGACTTTTGGAAACACTTTGATAATTTGTCAAAAATTCTGTGCAAAGGGATGATAACTCTTAACAAGAGCTGTCGGTAGGACAGCACGCTCGACTATTCTAAGTGCTTGACAGTAAAAGAGCCTTGATAATGTTAAATTTTTTAAGTTCACAAAAGGGCTAATTTTTTTTTATAAATTCATGTTATAGGCCTTAGAGAGAGTCTAATTATACAGTATTGGCTTGACTATTCGGAAGGTAATGTCACAAGGGTGTTTTATTGAGTATAATAATACTAATTACCTATGAATACATAAATTTGACAGACAAGGTACAAAGGCTTGTTATTAAGATGTTTTATCAAGTAAATCACTGCTTTATTATTATGAATGCATAAAATTGTCCCAAAAAAGGCACAAACCCTTCAGTAGTTATTGAGATAACAGCTTACAAACAAAACTTTACCATGAAAAAGGGGAGAAAAATCAGCCTAAATGCAAGATAGAATTATGGATCTTTGTCAGTGACCTACAATTATGACCCTAAATGCATATGTGAAGTTTTAAATAAATATCTTTAACCCATTACTTCATGAGCATTTTGTGAAAAATGGCTGTTTTCATTGAAAAGTCTCCCGTTACAAGTTCAAATTGCTATAATACTATACAAACTGCTTCAACACTAATCAAACTTGGCACAAATGTTGACTGGACCATTGACCTTGCAACAACATGCTCAGGCTTAAATTTTCTGTTACCATGGCAACGAGGGGACATCTCAAAATTGCCAAAAATCACTATTTTGCGATGATTTTTTCCATTATAATTGATTTCAAAGTGCTGCAACTTCTCAATGGATTGAGATAGAGTCAAATGCTTTTCAGCGTTGGTTACACGTTACGTTATGATCAATCTGGGGTCATTTAGAGCCTCTCACAAGTCCAAAATTTTCTTGGCGATGAGGGGGACTCCGCTCCCCTTCAAACCGCCCAAACAGAAGGGGGCACATCCCCCTTCTGGCAACCCCCTGATGTATCTTTTAGTTGGGGGGCCGCGCCGAAAAAGTGGTCACTTTTTTTAACAACATTTCTCAAACAAAAACAAGTGTTAAGGGCCTAAATAATGCATTTTTTCACCATTTGAGACAACAAAAAGGGGGGGGGGGTGAAAAAGGCGTTAAAAGGCGTGTATATGAAGTAATGGGTTAATAGTTATTGAGATATGTAAAACTTGCATGTAAACATTAACCAAGAGACTAAGTAGAAAAGGGGATATGAATCAGCCTTAATGCAAGATAGAGTTATGGAACTTGGTCAGTGACATACAATTATGACCCTCAAATTATCACCCTAAGTGCATGTGTAAAGTTTCAAGTAAATATCTTTGAAGACCTTTAACCTTTAACCAAAATTTCTAAGTTTCAAAGGGGCAAATAATTCTGCAAATATTGCAGGCAGAGATATGCAATTTTGCAAACTAATGTACATTGTTACTACAAAAAAGTGTTTTAAATTTCAATTGAATATCTCAAGCAATAATTGAGATATTTGACTTTACAAAAAAACTTTAACCAAAATTTCTAAGTTCCAAAGGGGCATAATTCTGTCAATATTGTAGGCAGAGTTATCCAACTTGTCAATCTGATGTACCTTGTTACTATAAATAAGTATTGTAAGTTTAAATTGAATATCTCAAGCAATAATTGAGATATTTGACTTTACAAAAAACTTTAACCAAAATTTCTAAGTTAAAAAGTGGCATAATTCTGTCAATATTGTAGGCAGAGTTATCCAACTTGTCAATCTGATGTACCTTGTTACTATAAATAAGTATTGTAAGTTTAAATTGAATATCTCAAGCAATAATTGAGATATTTGACTTTACAAAAAACTTTAACCAAAATTTCTAAGTTAAAAAGGGGCATAATTCTGTCAATATTGTAGGCAGAGTTATCAAACTTGTCAATCTGATGTACCTTGTTACTATAAATAAGTATTGTAAGTTTCATTGAATATCTCAAGTAATAATTGAGATATTTGACTTTACAAAAAAACTTTAACCAACGCAGACGCCAACGCGGACGCTGACCCCGACGCCGGGGCGACTACAATAGCTCTCATATTCTTCGAATAGTCGAGCTAAAAACGCTTTTAGAATTTGGCATAAAAAAATGTTCATGCAATTTCTCAATACATTTAATTGTCAATGCCTTTATAACATATTTTTTTATGACCGGGTCCCCCATTAATAATCATTGTTCTATTACCAAAGTAAAAAGAACTGACCATCAACATTATAACAAATTATCACTTCATTTTTTTTTGTTACCTTGTAACTAGATCCTAAATTCTTCTGTTTAAAAATAAAACAAAACAAAAAAGTACACAAAAACATTTCTTATAATTTTAAGTTATAAGTTAATCTTGTGTGAAAAGTGTAAAATAGAAGTAAAGTCCATTTTTGAACTACATGTACCAAAATTGGTGGCACTTAATTTCTATTTGAATATTGTTTTTATTTTACTTACCAATAACCAACATCAAGGTCTGTATGGTACACCATAATGGTTTTTGCGGATAAATATTTTTCTCTATATGAATTATAATCATCCTGAAATAAACACAAGCTATTAAATAACCGTAAACATGAAATACTTCCATATAAAAGTAGTTTTTAAATTCTAATCTACAAGTTCATTTAATCATTTATCCTGTCAAAGTTCATTTTGCATTTTAAATCAGATGTGAAGAATCCTAAAACTGTGAATGATTGCAAGGTGCTCCAATTGAAAACAGAAGTGTTGCACCTGTGTAGGGCTTCCATTGAGTTTCAAAATTTGGAAGTCAGAGACTGCAAAATCTCTGATACTGGAAGTCACATTATATAGGTTTTTTTTTCTTTTTTTGGAGGGGGGGGGGTTTACGCCACATCGACACAGTAATAGGTCATATCGCGATGTTCCAGCTTTACTGGTGGAGGAAGACCTCAGGTGTGTGCATTATTTCAGGCAAACATTATATAAATAAAGAAGGAAAAGTAATAGATATTAGAAGTCACAAGCGAATATCAAGGATAAAATGACTCCAAAACTTCCATTAACGGAAACCCTGTGAATCAGACAGACAGACAAACTAGCATGAAACACCAAATCATGCAAATGACACATTTAAAACGAAAAATGTAAAATAACAAGAGCTGTCGGTAGGACAGCACGCTCGACTATTCTAAGTGCTTGATAGTAAAAGAGCCTTGATAATGTTAAATTTTTTAAGTTCACAAAAGGGCTAATTTTTTTTATAAATTCATGTTATAGGCCTTAGAGAGAGTCTAATTATACAGTATTGGCTTGACTATTCGGAAGGTAATGTCACAAGGGTGTTTTACTGAGTATAATAATACTAATTACCTATGAATACATAAATTTGACAGAAAAGGTACAAAAGCTTGTTATTAAGATGTTTTATCAAGTAAATCACTGCTTTATTATTATGAATGCATAAAACTGTCCCAAAAAAGGCACAAACCCTTCAGTAGTTATTGAGATAACAGCTTACAAGCAAAACTTTACCATGAATTTCTAAGTTGAAAAAAGGGGAGAAAAATCAACCTTAATGCAAGATAGAATTATGGCTCTTTGTCAGTGACCTACAATTATGACCCTAAATGCATATGTGAAGTTTTAAATAAATTTCTTTAACAGTTATTGAGATATGTAAAAATTGCATGTTAACATTAAATAACCAAGAGACTAAGTAGAAAAGGGGATATGAATCAGCCTTAATGCAAGATAGAGTTATGGAACTTGGTCAGTGACATACAATTATGACCCTCAAATTATCACCCTAAGTGCATGTGTAAAGTTTCAAGTAAATATCTTTGAAGACCTTTAACCTTTAACCAAAATTTCTAAGTTTCAAAGGGGCAAATAATTCTGCAAATATTGCAGGCAGAGTTATGCAATTTTGCAAACTGATGTACATTGTTACTATAAAAAAGTATTTTAAATTTCAATTGAATATCTCAAGCAATAATTGAGATATTTGACTTTACAAAAAACTTTAACCAAAATTTCTAAGTTAAAAAGGGGCATAATTCTGTCAATATTGTAGGCAGAGTTATCCAACTTGTCAATCTGATGTACCTTGTTACTATAAATAAGTATTGTAAGTTTCAATTGAATATCTCAAGCAATAATTGAGATATTTGACTTTACAAAAAACTTTAACCAAAATTTCTAAGTTAAAAAGGGGCATAATTCTGTCAATATTGTAGGCAGAGTTATCCAACTTGTCAATCTGATGTACCTTGTTACTATAAATAAGTATTGTAAGTTTCAATTGAATATCTCAAGCAATAATTGAGATATTTGACTTTACAAAAAACTTTAACCAAAATTTCTAAGTTAAAAAGGGGCATAATTCTGTCAATATTGTAGGCAGAGTTATCCAACTTGTCAATCTGATGTACCTTGTTACTATAAATAAGTATTGTAAGTTTCAATTGAATATCTCAAGTAATAATTGAGATATTTGACTTTACAAAAAACTTTAACCAGCGCAGACGCCGACGCGGACGCTGACGCCGACGCCGGGGCGACTACAATAGCTCTCATATTCTTCGAATAGTCGAGCTAAAAAATGAATAGATTTTTTTCTTATCTGAATTCCCCATTAATAGGCTTTGGCTACTTTCATATTATTTTCTTTTTATAATGGATGTGGCTAGCCGTACAGGCCCGTACAGCTAGCCAAAAGTTCTAGCCGTACGTGAGTCACGTACGACTAGCCAGGACACACTGTATTGGCTAGCCGTACGGCACTTTTCAAAATTATATGGAAGTCGAAAATGCATATGTTATTTTATGACTTTAAGTGAGGATTTGTACAAGACACAGCAATTGTCTTCGTATGTTTACTTTTTAGAGATTAATCACCTTGTTTGCTGGCTTAATAAAGAAAGTATACGAATACAGTATATATTTTTGTCATCTCAAGACGTCGAGAAAAAATAGCGTTTGGTTGCAGTAAAATAACATCAATTGAAATAGTTTACAAAACTTTGATATTTTTTTTTGTTTCATTTAGTTTAATTTTCAAATAAAAAAAAAATAATAAAAAAAAACGCCGAAAATAATTGTTGTTGGGCTCTGATAATTGCGTCAATTACCGACGGTATAGAAGTTTGTCCATCATTAAGGAAAGTTTGCCTTAATTAAGGCTTATTAATTGATTGTGCTTTTATGTTCGATATTTAAAATTATCTACTGTATTTGAAAATTATTAAATTATTTTTGCTTTTCACCGTTTTTTTTTCAGTATTCTTTTTATTTACTTATTTATTTATTTAATTATTTATTCCCCTCCGATCATTATTTATTCGATCCATGTGCTTAATTAACAAAAATGATTTAACAATTCATCTTTCATACAAATAAAACAACAAATCATAAGCATGAAAATCAAGGACGTTATAACTTATAACATACAACTTTGACACTTTTATCAAAATAGATTATACAACGCTTGTTCGTATTCATTTTTTTTACAAAATGGCGGAGCATCTTTATTAAAGTGAACACACTAGGACAAATGCGGAGACTTGATTAAAATCCTCGTTAAAGACACATAATAACATATGCATTTTCGACTTCCATATAATTTTGAAAAGTGCCGTACGGCTAGCCAATACAGTATGTCCTGGCTAGTGGTACGTGACTCATGTACGGCTAGAACTTTTGGCTAGCCGTACGGGCCAGTACGGCTAGCCACTTCCTTTTATAATGGAGCCTTATACAGCCAAAGTCTCAAGTAAGGCACCAAAGACATAGGTCAAATGATTGGGCGAGAAAAATGTGCAGTTCAGGGGGATACTGTTCCACCTTGTGAGCTGTCAGGGTGCTTACACATCTCCCTTCATTAGTCAACTGTTCTGTACAGTGACCTAATTAATAACTGTTAATTGATTACCAAATTTTATACCAGAATACATTTTTTACAAGTTAAAACAGATATTAAACTGTTAAACTATTAAAGGGAACTTGTCCTTACCTTGTACCCTCCCCAAACAATCATCAAGTTATTCTCTGCCACGGCGACGTGTCCAACCCTTGGTGGGACAGTTTTAACCATAGTGGCTGTAGCATTCATTGTTAGATTTTAAAAATAATGGTCTTTTTTATTTTGCATAAAGATTAAAGTTGACAGATTGACATATCACATGGAAGCTTGATACATCGCCTACATCACACCGATTAAATATGATCTTCCGAATATATATAATATTGTTATCGTCTTAAATTGAAAACTAAAGTAAATCAAGTCACGGTAAATTAAGTCAATGTTTTTCAGTGAAAAAAGAAAGAAAGCATACAAAATTACCAAAGACTGACAGGGACATTTCAACTTTATGAATTCCCGATTTCATATTCATGAATTCACGATTTCAACTTTACGAATTCACGATTTCAACTTCATGAATTTAAGATTTCAACTTCACGATTTTAACTTCATATGAATTCACGATTTCAACTTCACGATTTCAACTTCACGAATTCATATATATAAATAAAACTTAATTAAATATGCTGTTAAATTTCGAATGAAAAATATTTCAACGTCTTTAAATATATTATAAAGTAGTTAAGATGGCGGGGGCGCGGAGCGAAAAGTCGCTAATTAGCGGGGGGCGCGGGACAAAGTTTAATAGATAAAACTTCGCCGCTGTCCCGCTTATTAGCGTGTTTTCGCCCCGCGACCCCGCCAAGCTAAAAGTCGAGAAAGCACAAGTTAAAATGGCGTGGGCGTGGAGCGAAAACTCGCTTATCAGCGAGGGCACGAGCCGAGGTTAAAGGAATAAAACGTTGCCCCGCGGGGTGCAGAGCGAGATTTAAAAAATAAAACGGTGGGGGGAGCGCAGAGCGAACCAACGCGCTAATTAGCGGGGAGCGGGACGAAATTTAATAATTAAAATTCGCTGCGCGCCCCCGCTAATTAGCGTGTTTTCGTCCCACGACCCCGCCAAGCGAAAAATCGATAATTAACAAGTTATAATGACGGGACCCCGCGGTTTTATTTCTTTTATTTATTAAACTTTGCCCCGCACCCTTGCTAATTAGCGTGTTTTCGCTCCGCGTCCCGCCGTTTTAACTTGTTAATTTCCGACTTTTCGCTTGGCGGGGTCGTCGGATGAAAACAAGAATGGCACAAATCAGACACCATATGTAAATGCAATTTTAAGACTAAACTGAAACATGCTCTTGGAATACTTCAGCAAAAAATTCAATTTCACTCGGGCGATCTAACCCTGATCTTACTGAATTTGTGTAAAGAATACCCTATTTTAAATTTGGAATAATCCATTCGAAACTCAAAGGAATTTCAATATCAAAATACAAAAATTAAGCAGCTAATAGTAAAGAGCCTGGTATGACCGCATCCAGATGATATTGTAAATAAATTACTCACATCTGGAACATACGTGTGCATCCCAGCTCACATAAATTATCTCAATTTTATGTCTTTATTTTAAGGAATTCGTACAAATACACTAGCTTGTCCATCATTCAGTAATCTTGGTAAATGACTTATATTGGAAACTTTGTATGAAATAAAGTGCATTTATTATTAAGGACATAAGTACATAATTAAGTTAAATTACATACAATTTTACATAATAGATACTGCAGTACATCGTAAATGTACTTGATGTAGATATACAAACAGAGACACATTTTCCCAGCTTTTGGCATCAATATAGCACGCCGTATTTTTTAACATCAATAAAATGGTACTCTTGACGGATTCCAGCAATCACTGGAATATTCTTCCATAACTTTTCCGGAGCACTTTTAAATCCTCATTTTTGCGTCTTCCAGAACGTATTCTGTTATATTTTCAGCTTTTTCCTAATGCTTTCAGTATCAACAGCGTGCCTCGATCGATCCCGAGAATAACATGTAATGTATCAAGCAGACAAATGTCTCTGTGTCTTAGCAACGCTGAAATGGGCTGCGACACCATTATAACAGCTTTTGTGTTTAAAGCATCACTACTTAAATGTCTTTCTCCAAATAAATCTTTAACTGACGATGATTTCTGAAAGACTGTCCTGTGTAGAAACTTCTTCAAATCTTTTTGAACATTAATAGTCACAATGTTTTTCCCAGGGTAGAAATATGTACTAAGACATTCATTCGTGAATTCAAGCTTCATGTTAACCAGATCATCATTGTTCTCATTTAAGTTGTCTTGAATGAATACACATACACTTAAGGTGGAAATGTCATTGTTTAATCTATGTGTAACAAGTTGGGAGATAGCTTTACAATGTTTCTCATTAACTTCACCAAATCTGCGATCATTTCTAATCTCCAACACTTTACCAAAATCTTTACATGAAAATTTATTATCATTTTTCACATACGACCTGTTCTGCAGCTTCTTTACAGTAGAATTTTGATTACTCTTATCAGTTGACATTGCAGCCCTTTGGTGGTGGTTTTCAGTTTCGATTGCAGACCCTTCATGGTGATTTTCAGTTGTTTGATCAAAAACAGTTTTCTTAGAATTCTGACACAATTTTACTTCTTTCCGAACTTCTTCCTTGTCATACACATTTGCCTTTTTAAATTGATCATAAAGTTTTATCCTTGCTAATTCGTGCACTTTTTCGTGATTTCGACCAGGAAAGTTATTAAACTTTACCGTAGCTCCTTTTAACTCATCCGTCTCATATTGCTCTGATATATAAACACAATTCCCTCTCTTGATTTGGTCATTTACTCGCATATGTCTTTCTTTCAGCCTTGTTGTCTGATCGTTAAATAATACACGCTGATGTTCAAATGCATTCTTAGTATATGTTGCATGGTCCTGGACCTTTCCAGATCCGAGATCACCCGCTTCTGTGTGACTGGCCAGGTCCATAAAGTCACCATGGCAAAACTTCATGGAATCAGATTCTTTTCTTTGGTGTGTTTCACATTCTCTATTAGATGAACATTTGTTCTGTGTATGTGTCTTAACTTCTTTTTCTAGAATTCTAAGGCTGTTTTGATTATCATCGTACTCTGTAAAAAATAATTGTTTCTGTCAATTATGATTTAATGAATTGAAAATTGTGTTTGAAAATTTCATGACCCAAATATAGAACATTTTATTACGCATCAAAAACAGACAGATGTATCTTAAGCCGGTGCTAGGGGGCGTGGACGGTAGTTTGCACTTGACAGTACCGTCCATGAACAGGCTCAATCAAACCGAGCCTGCAACATTTTCAATTTTGCCATGTTTTCTTTAGGGATTCTTATTTTCTCTATTTTAGACTGTAAAACAATTTACTGAGAATTACAGGTACATGTATGTCTGGGAATTCATCAACATGTAATTTAGCGGACTCCAGGCCCCGTGTTCGCTGACATTTCTGATCCTAAAAATTTTGTGATTATGGGACCTGAAGATAAATAATACATTCGCTGCTGCTGCACCCACACATCTGCTTTTGTACATGCTTGTTTTTCAAAACTACAAAAAAAAAAACATTCAGAATACTAGATTCTGTCATATGTATAGAGCTATGTCATATTCTTAACGGACATAAGTTGAGACTTTCTGACATACACAGGGTGTTGGTTGACTCTAGGACAGGGGCGAATATAGGGCACTTGGCGTCGTTGGCGATAATCTTTCACAGAAATATGAACATTTTTTTGGCGGATATATACAAATTCATACCTTTTGAGACAGGCTCTCTGTTTTTCTTCTGTAACGCTGGATCTTTTAAAGTCTTTTTAATCACTATTTGAAATTCTCTACAAATACAACGCATCTGCATCGCCTCTGTGTCAGAAGTATCAGTCTTACATTTTTCCGTTTCTCGTTTAACTCTTTTGTTCACGTTAACGAGGTCTGATATCGGAGTGCTGCCATATGCACTTTTAACTATAAATATTGCTATTATCTGCAAACGTTTTAATCTATCACGCTTTCTGTCAGTTGTAGGGTTATACAGCGCAACCAAATCGAATCTGTCGTCGAGTTTTATGTCAATATCTTTTGGCAAATATTTTGCATATTTGCAATCTTTAAATGGACACTTTTTCTGTAGATTCTTTAAGTTATGATCTTTCTTGAGATTCACAAATACTTTTCTGTCATCTGTTAATTGTTTACATGTTTTCTTCTTAAATTTTGCTGTAAAACGCATTTTGCATCATTTGACAGTTGGAGCGAAATTCTGCACGTGTTTTGTTGTTTACAGAGGGCGCGATTTTGCTGGTTCTCAAATTTGTCACCGTCTATTAAACGTAAAATATACAAATTGGAACCAGACTGTATTGTGCTTAATATCAAACGTGCTTCCGCTGAAGAAAACTAACCGCTCTCTTGACATAGCAGTTAAAAACTATTAAAGATGAGTAGTCCAGCTGTTGTGAAAGAAGATGATCATATTATTTTAAGGAAAGGCGATAACTTGAGGTTATTCCAAGTTCATAGAAATAGGTAAATTGAAAGGATGAGTTTATTCGTGCTCATTTCTTTTCGTATTCAGTATTAATATTAAAGTTAAATAAAAAAAATAACCCAGTGTGCCATGCTATATTAAGCAATTGATTGTAATTCTGGGTAGCTTTGTTAAACTTACCCTTTTTGCGTTTTCATTTTCGCTAAAAGTAAAATAGTTCAACTAATTTTAGATTATTTTTTCGAGATAATTTTTGACAGTTGTACTCGGTTCCTATGATATCACGGGTTCTATGATATCACGGTATTTACATTTTCTGTGGCTGCTAGTAAAACCAACACACGATGATAATAAATATTTGTAAAACTGGCACAATAAATTCATTTTCATCTGCCAATGAGTTTAATTTTGTGAATAATAAATGTATTCGTCAAAAGAAAACTATTTTATTAAATCTTCTTATTTGACAACTATTTTCCAGCGATTTTTTACCCTTTATAAGTGGTATCGAATAATCGCCCCATTCACAATCACAAATGGACCTTCACAATTTTCAGACTGGGTCCGACGGACCCGTTCACAATTCTGATGAAATTTCATAATTCCCATTAATTAAGTCTTAAGTCTCTTCGTATAATGAATATTTGCTTGTTGTGCTTTGTTTATCTTAAAATGTGTTTAGCCGACCATGATGTGCGGTGCGTTCGCCCTTTAAATGTTTGAACTGTTTAAATACGAAACTTCTAGGGATGAATCAATACCGAAACAAGCGTCTGGTAATTTCTGTAAACATCATTCAAAATGTCTAGTAACAGTAATTACTACATTAAAAATATTATATGTTCTTACTGCTGAATAAGATATTCACAATCTTAATTAAAAAATTCACAGTTTGTTAAGAAACAACGCTTTTTTCCCAATTTTTATGGTACGGTACCCATTCACAATTCAGGGAAAAAAATCGCTGATTTCCATTCATTGTTTTTACACAGTCAATTAAAATATGTTATAATCAGGCCATCCTTAAAAAAATGTTTGTTTGCAGTAACCTGACCGAGAATTTTCAAGGTGGGTAGGTAGGTCGATTTTTTTTGATTTTTTTTTTATTGGAACTGTACTGCCAAATAAACATGGAATTTCAAAATGCTGGACAATATATGCTTTGATAATCTGGTAACAATTAATAAATTGATAACTGAATTCTAATTTAATAAGACCTACATTTTATTTCTTCTATTAACCTTTAAAAGAACGAAAACAAAGCACAAGGCATAATTTTCTGATTAAAAAAAAAAATTTTTTTTATCCAGACCATGAAAAAAAATTTTGAGTAGGGGCAAATTTTGTGAGTCGGTCGCGTTACTGCAAACGAACATTTTTTTAAGGATGGCCTCATATATACATATCACATATTGTCAGTTCATATGGTTTGAATTTTATATCAAGTTAACTGTTGGAAGTTTTCCACAACTTATCTTGAAGATTTTGACCCATCAATCCTTCCATACTTGCATTTTGGGGGATTACCGTGATACCATTGTAACGTCCTCTGAAATTACCCAAAATGGCAGACATTGAGAATAGTTTAAAAATGATGTTTAAATTGGATCTTCAGAAATGAATTTTTGACAAACAGTCTTGGAAAAGGATCACTTATTAAATAGAAGAAAAACTCATTCATGTACGATATTTATATTTGAATATGTTACGATAAAGTTAAGTACCATGATATCATAGAACGCTGAACCCCCGGCTGATGTCTTTCTTATGATGTATGAATTTGAAAGTATAAAAGAATCTTTAAAATGGGTCAAACCAGGCACGTCTAATAAAGTTAGAGATTTTATCATCAGACAGTTCTAGTCAGTAATTTCCATTGCTTCTCAAATGTCTCAAAAGCAGTCTTGCCTACAAAAACTAAACTTATACCTTGAAAACCCACCCCGACCTCACCAAGATATTGTAAATACCCCCAAACGGATGATGTATCTGTCAGCAAGAACAGGGTGCTGAAACTCCTTGCCAACCTGAAGATAGACAAAGCTGCAGGTAATTCAGCCAATAGTCCTCAAAGAACTGTCAGAGGGTTATTCCTAGGGACCTGAATTCCTCAGGCTGCATATTTTTCTGGCCAAAATATCGCAAATTATCCAAAAGCCCCTGCTGTTCTATTGGAATCAATGTGATTGGTGCATACGCTATATTAATTACTTAAATATACAGTTAAATGGTATTTTTTAATTTTTGATAAGTTCTTTTTAAAAAAATATGTGTAATTCTTTTTAGAGATGTATGGTTGGAAAAGAGTAAGTTTAAACTGGATGGAATAATTGGTTTTCCATATGGTTCATTGTTTGAAGTGAAGGATGGTGAGATGGTGAAAATGGAGCGAACTGTTCAGCAAGATACTGATGCTTCAGAGGAAGGTATGATAAGATGGAATATATATCTTCACATTTTGTGGGGAAAATGTATAATATATTGATACTAGTATGAATGAATTATCAAAATAACTTGATTGATAAATCTTTGAAACTTGAAATGATTGATAAAAATTTGAAACTTGAAAGTGTAAAAATATAAGTTATGATGAAAAAAAAAAGTTCACATTAATTATTTTGAGATTCCACATTTATTGAGATTTAAAGGTTTGAATATAATTTGCAAAATCTGTAAGTACTCTCTAAATTTTAGCTTAAAAAAATACAAAAACTTAAAAGTTAATTGACTGTATTACTGTAGAACAGTTCACTAATTTGGAATGGAATATGTATGCAATTGTGCATCTGAGGTCGAGTGGTTAAAGTTGTTAACTTCAATGCATTTGCCTCTCACTGCTTTTGGTTCACACCACACACGCTTCTTAGGATCCTTGATGTTGGAACAGCTTTCCGACTAGCTTATGGAATGTTGGTGGTTCTACTCTGTCTCAGGAGCCTGTTTGAGCCTGAAATAATGTACAGAGGGGCAACTGAGGTCTTCCACCACCATTAAAGCTGGACAGTCACCTTATGACCGACACTGACAGTCTGTGTCAGTGAGACGTTAAACCAACCAAAAGAAAATGTGAATGAAGCCGGGAAGCTTAGTCAGTAGAGTGGCTGAATCGTATGAATGTTTTTGTTGGACTTAAATCATTAGAAATGAATCTGGGTGGTTTTATGAATTTATTTTTTTGACAAGAGTGTTTGTTTTGGGTTATACTGTCTGCCTCTCACATTCAACATAGGGATGGCAGGTTCGAACCCTACTCAAGTCTGCTTCTTCATATGGGCACCAGTAACTGGTTAACTAGTTCCAAGGAACAGAATAGAAAGTGATTTATATCAGATGAAAGAACTTGTTTTATTGTAAAGCTTGGGATGTCCATGGCCAAGTTGTAAGGGAAGTTGACTTCAAACCACTTGCCCTTTGAATTTGGCCAGGGACTTTGAATACTTTCATGTGAGAAAGCTATCCAGTTAATTACTCAAACTCAAATGTTGGTGGTTCTACTTAGGAGCCAGTTTGTGCCTGAAATAATACATGGAGGGGCACCTGAGGGTTTCCTCCAAGAGTAAAGCTTGAAAGTCACAATGGGACAATTACTGTGTTCACTGTTCCCCAACAAGCCTGTTTGATATTTTTTACAGGAAAAGACAACAGACATTTGCAAGATAAGGACAGTAACCAGAAATTGACACAAGAGGAAATAGAACAGATGAAGAAAGAAGGAGTATCTGGGGATGTAAGGGCATATTGTTTTAATCCTGTCTTCTTAATATTTATTTTAACATTGACACAGCATCATTATTTGTACTTATTGTTCATTGAGTTACATTAATGCTGCAATGACCCCTAACATTTTCAATTTACTGGCATCCACCACTAAAAATATGTGTCGGTTTCACTTTCTTTCAACAGTTAAAGTAAGGGGAGCTTTATAGGAGTTATTGATGAGCTTTATGGGAGTTATTGTGGAGCTTTATTTGAATTGTTAAATTACCTCGAGCAATTAAATGTATATGTTTAACTTTAGTTGAGATTTTTAGTTGTAGGAAATTAATTATAATAGCCAGTAACTGAACAAACTGAAGCTAGCTACCAAAAAGGAACATTTTATATGTATCATATTGTCTGCAAAATATTGTACAATGAAATTAAGATGTTGTCATTGATTTTAAGTTTAAAATAATCTTTTTCAAATCTTTTCTTTTTAATAGCATCTAATAGAACAACTGATAGAAAACAGTGCCACCTTCCAGAGTAAAACAGGATATGCACAGGAAAAATGGGTCAAAAAGAAGAAAAAAAAGTAAGCAATAGTATTTAAAATTTTGATAAGACATGTACTTATGTCAATTACAATATCATCCTTCTAGATCTATAGCATTGTTCTGTTAATTTCTTGTTATAATTCAGACATGAATAAATATTTTGAGTCTTTCTTGACATGTTGTAAACATGATTGAATGAAAAGACTCTTACAGTCATGATTCAAATATAAGTGAATAGTTTTGTGCCTGATAGTCTTATTCTTTTCTTGCCATGTTTTAGACATAAGTTTATAGTTTGTTTTTTGACATGTTTCAGACATGATTGAACAGTTTTATTCTTTTCTTGTCATGTTTCAGACATGAAGGTATAGTTAGTTTCTTTTTTGTCATGTTTCAGACATGAATGTATAGTTTGTTTCTTTTTTGTCATGTTTCAGACATGAAGGTATAATTTGTTTCTTTTTTGTCATGTTTCAGACATTTACTACAATTTACTGTGTTAAAGCCCACTACAAGACTTATGTGTGAGATGCACTGGTCAAAGGGACCTTCCAGAATATGGTAGTATTTATTTCTATATCAACAGATGTTAAATATAGTTACATTTAGACTTATATTGTGTGAGAAACGGTCTGCAGGCTATGTTTATATTAAATTATTTTTCTACTGATTTTCATCATGATTTAAAAGCGACCTATTAGTTACATAGGAAGTTTCGATAACATTCTAAGTTAATATGTACATGTTTTGTATCTTATTACAGTAACTTAAGGATCGATACCCTTGGACAGATATTAACAATGGGTAATGTACGTGCCAACAGTACAGTGATGGTTGTTGAGTCATGTTTAGGTCTCATTACAGGGGCTGTACTGGAGAGACTTGGAGGTATATGCATAGTCATCTCAATGTGTATAACCCTTTATCTGCTATGTTTCTTTGGTGGACTTGTCCAGCTTCCATATTTGGAACTGCCCATTATCAATTTTTAGAGATAATTGCATGAAAGTTTGAATTTGATCAGTCAACAGTATAGAGTGTGGTCAGACTGTATGAATGTACAGACTGGTCGTACTCTGTACTGTTGGCAACGGCTATTTGTTTTCAGTTCCAGCAGGTTTAGAATTGATATATAATCTTCACAGAATTTATGTGCTTCTTATGTCTGCACGCCTCCAGATGAGCAAAATTATTTCTATAAAATTAAACCTGGGAAAAAGTGTACTAAGATTTAGGAAAGGTATATAGATTCAAAATTTTGGTAAAAATCTACATGTTATGTGCGATTAACGACTGAATTTTTCAGTATGTATAACTATATTTCTACAGCGTTACTAACGCATCAAAGGCTATTTTTGCATATTTTGACCTCTTTATAGTAATTTACCTAGGTTGTAAGTGCCATTGATAATGTGTAAATTGCATTCTTTTGGTAACTTTACAATAATATACTGTTAAATACATTTTCAAATTTTCAAGAAAATTAACATGAATCTGGAGGTGTGCTGCTTTAATACATTCTGCGCCACTTTGTTTTTTTTTCACTGGACTAGTTTTAACAGTGGGACTGTTCTTTTCACCCTTGCTTTAGTGTTGGTGTAATAGTTGCTCAAAGTTTTGCATTTTATCCAGAAATTTGTATATTATATTGTATAAGGTTTAGTTGTACACAAAAGATTTAAGTATGAAATGGTTGCATGTTTTAACCAGAAAGTATCAAATCCTAAATAAAACATGCCTTTTAGAAACATGTACATAAATGTTTCCATTATTAATATTTGGATTCATTCTTGGAGAAAGAAAAGTTTATTTGAAATTGTCTTTCAGGATATGGAAAAGTGATCAGTTTTTATCATGGTGACTCACCAATGAAGTAAGTATATGCTGAAGTAATAACCAACTGTTTGTTTTACTCACCCTTATACTGCGTCATATACACATAAAGACGTTATGGCATGGCCGTGCATATATTTTGAAGTGACATCTTTAAGCATTTGAACAATAAATTGTGCATTATTAAATTCAAGACAAGAAAAATGGATATCTATTTTCAGTCTAACATGCTTATAAAAAGAGAATTGATAAAAATATGCTGAACTACATAAAAAAGCATAGAAGTAATTTTCCTGACATCATTTGGGTTATTGACGTCGTATGTGATATTATACGACGTACAAGCATTCATTTTTTATATCGTGCATATATTATGTTACAATACCCTCGTCAGTATCTATTTCAATGGGGAACAATGTGAAGCTTGTTAAATGTTCTTTAAATACAGCATAAAGGCACAGTAGATGGTAGTGTTATAATTGTATATGTGTCAATGAAAAAGTTATTCTTTTTTACTGTAAAAAGTTCTTATTTTGGGTACGTGAAAAATAGAATATTATATTTGTGTAGCTTCATGACTAAATTTATTGAACTTGCTGAATATCGTATTACATTTTATGCTCTCCACTGACTCGCATAATGTAATTTGATTCAATTTGTTCAATAAATTCAGTATTGAGCATACACTTGTTCAATATCCTCTACATGTATTTATGTACTATGTCAACAAAATCTAGTTTGAATAAAAAATAATTTTGCATTACATTGTATTTACGTTTTCAGATGCTCCAGAGTATAACTTTATTGAACTTTTTCAATAAATTCAGTATTGAATTTACACTCATTCAATATCCTTCTTCTTATTACGCAGGAAATGATATTTATTCTTTATCAACATTTCAGGTGCAGTTTAGATAATTATGACTTCCCAAAAGAAATTATGGACACTTTATATAACTACCCATTAGAGCTTGTAAATTCTCTAAAGCACACAAAACCAGACCAGCAAAATATTGACTGTGTCCCATCTGTGACATGTGATCAGCCTGAAAGTATGCAGACTGATGATAAAACTGTAACACAGTCTAATTGCAATAATGACTCGGCAAATTCTAAAGAACAAATGCATACATCAGAGACTGGTTCTCAAGAAAATTTATCAGCAGAAGGCTCTGTAAACGAACAATCAGATAAAACAGTGGACCAGTCCAAAACTAATACAGAGACTGCTTCCAAGGAAGAAAATGAAGTTAAAAATTCTGGGAACAAGTCTACAAGGGCAGATAGGTGGAGTAAGAAGAAAGTTAGAACACATAAAGATAGAGCTGAGGCCAAATTGATCCGAGCCAAAGAAATTGAGGAAGCTAGAAAAATAATACAGCAAAAGAATGTTGACTGGTATGCTAAAATTCGTTTTGATTTCTTTATTTTGATTATGGGTCACTCAGTGTTTTAAATGAACTGTCAAGTCTGTGGTGTTCAGTGCATGGTTTTGATAATGTAGGCAATTAATAACTAAAATTGGACATAAGTTTTTTTACAATCTTAGTCTATAACAAAATACTGTCCACTGTCATTCTAATATTATATAACATAACCTTTATTCTCTAATAGGTCTATCATGAATGTACTTTTCAGTTTGATAGTCGCAACCAAATTTTACCCGACCCCGATCTTGCTGGCACTGATAGATTATGTGGCGCCCTCACGACAGGTTGTAGTCTACTCCCAGTTTAAGGAGGTAATTTTCCATTAGTTTTTCATTTCACTTACACCTATTATTTGTGTATTGTACTTGCCCTCCTTTGAATTTGGAAATATCTCATTACAAGTTTAACCCTTTTGCTGCCAGAGGGTTATTTATTTTTTGATCACCTATTTGCCAGAAGGTTTTCTAAGAAATTACTATATTATTATCCCCCGCCGATGGAATCGGGAGGGGGATATAGTTTTGGCGTTGTCCGTCCTTCCGTCCGTCCGTCCATCCGTCCGTCCGAATTTCGTTTCCGGAGTAGTTCTCTGCAACTACTTGCTGGAATTCAACGAAACTTTATGGGAATCATCAATATCAAGAGGAGATGCGCATCTGGCCGTCCGTTCGTCCGTCCGAATTTCGTTTCCGGAGTAGTTCTCTGCAACTACTGGCTGGAATTCAACGAAACTTTATGGGAATTATCAATATCAAGAGGAGATGCACATATCGTCGGCTTGTTCCGGTCAGACGCTTTAACTCAGAGTTATTGCCCTTGATTAGTTATGTAGTATGCATATAGAGTAAAAATCGTTTCCGCGCTACTTCTCTGCAACTACTGGCTGGAATTCAACGAAACTTTATGGGAATCATCAATACCAAGAGGAGATGCGCATATCATCGGCTTGTTCGGGTCAGACACTTTAACTCAGAGTTATGGCCCTTGATTAGTTATGCAGTATGCATATGGAGTAAAAATCGTTTCCGCACTACTTCTCTGCAACTACTGGCTGGAATTCAACAAAACTTTATGGGAACCTTCAATACCAAGAGGAGATGCGCATGTCGTCGGCTTTTTCGGGTCAGACACTTTAACTCAGAGTTATGGCCCTTGATTAGTTATGCAATATGCATATGGAGTAAAAATCATTTCCGGAGTAGTTCTCTGCAACTACTGGCTGGAATTCAACGAAACTTTATGGGAATCATCAATATCAAGAGGAGATGCGCATATCATCGGCTTGTTCCGGTCAGACCCTTTAACTCAGAGTTATGGCCCTTGATTAGTTATGTAGTATGCATATAGAGTAAAAATCGTTTCCGCACTACTTCTCTGCAACTACTGGCTGGAATTCAACAAAACTTTATGGGAACCTTCAATACCAAGAGGAGATGCGCATATCATCGGCTTGTTCGGGTCAGACACTTTAACTCAGAGTTATGGCCCTTGATTAGTTATGCAGTATCCATATAGAAAAATATTTGTTTCCTCGCTACTTCTCTGCTACCACCGGCTGGAATTCAATGAAAATTTATGGGATACAAAGAGGAGATGTGCATATAGTCGCCTTGTTCCAGTCAGATACTTATAACTCAGATTTATGGCCCTTGATTAGTTATGTAGTATGCATACATCTCATTGGCATTTCCAGATTTTACTATTTAACACAAAGTTATGGGTCTGTTATTTCCCTGAATATTTATCAAGTTCAAAGAATATTACTGTTTATGCCATGATTAATATATAAATAAAGCCTTATGTCTTCAGTTGTTGTGTTAATAATAACCAGTACTCGGCGGGGGATATAAATTCAACGAATTTGCTTGTCAGGCCTAGACATTAACTTTTGAATCAGGTTGTCCTGTCGGGCAAGTAGTTTTTAAAACTACTTGCCCTGACCTAAGACTTACTTGTCCTGACCTAAAAATGGTAAAAATGTATTTATCAGAAAAACAAACAAGCTCATACATTAATACTTCTTGTATTAGGTAATGTTAACATAAGGCAATAAACTGGACATATTGTTTATGAAATTGATTGTTAGTTAGACACAAATATTTTTTGTATTTAGTAGTTTTTCTAAAACATCCGTTCATCTGTTTATTCAATGTGAATATACTACGGTCATGTACATTTGTTGATATAGGAAACGGAAGGAAAAATATGAGCATGCGCCGCGGTAAGGTAATTCCCCGTTCAATCATCAAGTCAACAGCCGTAAACGAGTCTTCGTTGACTAAGTTCATAATGTTGTTATATTAGATTAAACAATAAATCATTTTAAATGCAAAAACTTTATTTAACAAATATATCTAAAGATCAATATGATTATTTACATATTTTCAATGATATCTTTACATGCAAACATCAAAATTTAAACAACAGCTAACCCGGGAATTACCTTGTACAAAATTAGATATAGTCTATTATTAGAACGGGGAATTACCTTACCGCGGTGCATGCTCATATTTTTGCTTCCGTTTCCTATATCAACAAATGTACATGACCGTAGTATATTCACATTATTGATAATGATTCATGGTGTATTTTGTTTTAAAGATGTTTATAAATGAAAAGATGTTATTTCTATTCATTTTGTACATGCATTTTGTCAATGATGCTTTTTATTTTCACTTGCCCTGTCAGACAAGTGCTTTTCAAAATAACTTGCCCGGACCAAACTTTTAGTTGTCCCGGGCAGTCGGACAACCGTTAATGTCGAGCCCTGCTTGTTAATTAATATTATTATTATTATTTGTATATAATAGTATTATAATAATTATATATGTTTCCAAATCTGCTAGTATAAAAATAATTATTGTCGATGGTATAATTATCTATATATTTATTATGATTATTATTATTATAATTATTATTATTAATTATTATTATTATAGAAACGGCAAAAGCCGTCCATATGGCAAATACGCCGAAAATAATAGGGACGGTATATGCCGTCTCTATGGCAGTGAAAGGGTTAAAGGGGCAACATTCGCTGCCGCGGCAGCGAGTATTTGTGGGTGTGACTAATCAGTGATGTAAAACTGTCTGTTATAAACCATGAGCTAAAAATAGAATGCAGTGTTAACCTACAGAGAGAATATAAACAAAACAGCTGATTTTACACAGGAGAGGTTAATTGGATGTTTTATATAACTCACAGATTAATCAGATTAATTAAAAGACAGTATCAAGCCATCTTGTCCAGATATTATTTTTGAAGTCAGTTTTTTTTTCATCAAGTCAGACAACTATATCCAAATCCAAAGGATGTGCCTTACATGGGACATTTCTTTTAAGAAAAACTGCTAAAAATGATCTTGACAGGAATTTAAAATATTTTTAACCTATTAATTTATAAAAATTTTATACAAATGATAAACATTTGTGAAATGTAATTTTGACTACAAGATACTTACAACAAAATATAGTGTAAATGAAATATACCTGGAAGTTACTTTTACTGTTTTCATGAAGTTTAAACCATTTAAATACAAGTTTAATCAGTACTTTGAAATTTAAAAAAAATCATAGATTAATGGATTATTGTAAATGTGTTGGATATAAATACTTTTTGATAAAGTAAGATCAGTAAAAGTTATTGTTTTTTTCTTATCATGTATTCAGCATTCGAATGTGTCGTCTGCTGAAATTCTCCCTCCCTGAAATATATATCGTCTGCTACAAATCTCTCTCACTGAAATAAACACTGCCACGTGCATCTGTTTACTACTGAAGGTTCATGACCTGTAATGATCAGTTGGCTCCTCCCATGGAAATTCAAATTTCAAATTTGACAGCCAGTATTTTTTTCCAGAAACACACTTAACAAAGTTTTATTTTGAATAATTTTGGTCAATCTATATCATGAATATCTATCCCTACATACATGCCAAGTGTTGTTTAAATGCATTTGGTAATTAATCTTAAATCTTTGAAAAAGGGTCCCTGAAGTGAAGCATGCATAAAATTAATAAGAAACCTGCCCTAGCGCCATCTGCTGGCTTTTATAGTCCAGTTGGGCCTTTAAGGGTGGGGGGGATGAAATATAGAAATGAAGCCATCAGCAGTGTAGAGTGCTGTCAGACTGTACAGATGTGGAGGCTAGCTGGTAAACTATACTGGTAACATGGGCACCTCAATATTGCTGCAAGAATACCAGAAAAATGATATCTTACATAGAGGTGCGCGGTTTAACCGGTATACCGGTAAACCACGGTCCGAGACATCTGCGGTACGTACCGCGGTACAGACCTGGAAAACCGATACTTTTAGCTCTAATTTAAAGCAATTACAGATCCGTAAAATGTACTAAATTAAAAAACTTTTTCTGTTGTATATGTCAATGTTTCTTTGAGTTAACCTTTTTGCAAACAACTTTCGCCGACTGTTATCATTCTTCGATAGTTCTTAGCGAAAATTGAATGCTTTATCGATTACCGCATGTAAGCCAGAATTGTCGACTTGCATGATTTCAGTTGAAGAAGCAAGAATTGTCGACTTACATTTACTTGTCCAAATATCGCATATTTGATACGAAAACTAATCGTAAAGATTGATAATTCATGAGGGCATTCCTTGCATAAAATTAGGGTGTTACTATTTTAAGTATTTATATAAATAGCGACCAATCAGGCTAGGGGTTTTCCTTACGTCACGCACTTACTGCATGCGCATGGCAATTAACTAATTATA